TTCCAAAAGGTGTGCATACTTGTGAGACAGTCAGTGTAATTGATCAGCGTGTAGCCCACCTATCATCAGATGATAGTGCTAAACCCGAACTAGTAGTGAAAGACAGCAGTGGTGGTAATCTTGCAGTTGGACAACTATCTGAAAGCCGAAAAAGAACAGCTTCTGATCCACCGCTAAGTTCATCACCTTGTGTCACTCAGTCATCGTTGGTGTTTTCATCCACAATGAAACAGATGCCCATCAACTCAAGTATCTTGTGCAATGACTATGATAGTATTGGTGCGTTTGAAAAGACGAAAGATATTGCTCAGTTTAGTGAGAATAAGCCAAGTGTAAAGGAGAGAGTAATTGTTAAATTGACTTGCATGAATAAAGGCATTTCTAGTTTCAAGTTACTAATTGAATGTTATTATCTTTGGTGTAAATTACTCTGTTTCTACACTTGGTTGATGAGATTTACCGTGTGTTTGTTCGTCATCTATATTCTACGATACAATGACATGGGCGTGTTACTGTTCAGATTTGAGGATTTAGCTCATGGAAGGAAGTCAGCAAATGAACTCTGCGACGATTTTCCAACCTAGGGCGTCAACCTGAGAAGGGTTGTAGGCGTACTGCTGTAAGTCCTACAATTCTTCAAAGGGTAGCGCATCAATGATCAGTCCAGTGTGCTTGGTGTATGATCTTGCACATATGTTCTTATTGTATATACGTGTGGTGTGTCATATCAATTGGTGTTTTATGGTTTCATTGTGTTTACTCGTTGTTTTCGTGCCTTGTTTTTATTGCATAATTTTGTTAACATTTTCGTCGTGATTACTTCTGAAGTTGTTTCTTGTCTTCTACATCCGTGAATGAATTGATTGATATTAGAGACAGCAGATGGGTCGTATACGCCGGTGAGGCTATTGCTGAAAATGAAACGCACACGGAGATAATTGTTAGCTGCGGTCCGACACGCCGGGGAGAAAGAGTGTAAACGACTGAGGCTCGCATGCGTCACCGCTACTAGAACTGAGTCAGAATGAGTGACAAGCGATTTCAATGGTAATTGATAGTGAGTAATTAAGAGGATGTGCGTAGAGTATCGTGAGGTCCTGCCATGGTCACTTTGCATTCTGCGAGAGTCATTCTAGCAAATGGCGATTGTGTTGCAAGATGTCAAGAGGCGGTCTCTGTCTGGAGGCGCAGGTCGTCATTGATGTGTGAGATTGTGCTGTGGGTATGCTTGTGGTGTGTTGGCTTTTCTGTTTGTTTTCCATTGCAGCTCTGTCCGTGTGACCCAGGTTCTCGCAATGGCATCCAAGTCGACGTGCATTGGTCGTGAAGGAAAAAAGGGTTGGATCCCTTTTTTGCCGGGGAGTGTCAATGGAGTTGAAGATTGAACGATCAATTCTTGGTTGTTTGCTTAAAATCAACTTCCCCAATTTTCGCGGAGGCATCAATACGACAGTCATCGTCTCATCGGTCGCTGTTCAGAAAGAAGAGTGAAACATCGTCAGAAGTAATCTTATGATTTATTATTGTAATATTTGTTTTCAGACCTTAGTTTACTTAGTTCGCTTATTCCTTTTATATGTTGGTGTAACAATAAACAAATCTCAAGCGGCAGATCAGTGTTTTGGTTTTTGCGTCCGTTATAACTAAGCGTTTCTGAGAAATCTTCGAAGAACAGCGTGGGCCCGAGCGTAGCGAGAGCTGGGCATTAACGGTTTATGAGACGTGATTGACACCTTGTGTAACAACATCGTTGGTTATATGTTGGCGTAAGAATAAAGGATTCTTCAGTCGCCAATCCGTGTTCTGGTTTTCGCGTTGCTTAATACAAAGTGTTTCTGAAAGTCTTCGAGGGACAGCTTGAGGTCCAGCGTAGCAAGAGCTGGACATTGACAGTTTATGAGACTTGGCTGACAAAGTGCCAGCATGTGACTTTCAGTGATGAATGCTGTCGCCAATAATTCTACCGCTATAGAGGCATTTTTGTGTATTGGATAAATATATTTATGAAAACAACGCATAAAATCTGTATAAAAGTGCTACATAGGACACCTTCCTCTCACATATGATAAAAATACCTCCTGATATCCAGTAGGTGCAACGACGGTATTACAAATGTATTCCGGCTACTTTGAAAAGCCATATAATCCGATCATTATTTCGGATATTCCAACTCAATATTCTGTTATAGCGATTCCATACTTCGATGTGCCATATTTTACGATCAGTTCTATTGTGCGCTTATCGCCAAATAGTAGAAAATCGAACTGATACACTATAAAGTAGGGATTTGCCTCCAATACGAGTTTACCTCTCCCATTATGACCCCACGATATGAGAGAACAGGGAAGGTCAGTTGCAATTCTAATTCGTTGATGTGGTCAGTATTTGAACTGCCTTAAGTGATTTTGCACCGCACATTTTAAAGATTACTGCAATCACTTCCAGAAATAAGGTTAATTTTTTGGAAATGTTTTATCCATTTACTACGCGTCTGGAATGTGTTATGCGCCATGTGCCATACAATGCGCTGCAATACCCAGAAGTGGCTTTCACCCATACTCTCATTGTAACAAGAAGAGTAGTAGGCGCACAGATAATGAAAGCAGAACACTAGGTGTTCAGAGAACGTTTATTCAACAAGAACTAGTTTTTAGAAAATGCGGGGATCAAGTTTTACAGTCTAATAGCCTTTCTTGTCTTCGTTAAGGTTTAGACTTTGCAGTTGTTTTATCTCTTGATCCATATAGTTGAGTTCCAGGTGTCTCCCTGCAAGGGAAGAGAATAAAGTACTGACTACTGTTGATTATATAGGCTTTTTGTTACTACATCATTAGCCGGAGCCAACTGTATGAATTTCCGCCTAGGGTGAGCCAATTTCGATGCATCACAAAGAAGTTCGACCACATGGCTGTTGGAAAACGTTTCACTTCCTAAAGTCATGTATAAAATGAGTTTTTACAGATTCTGAGGGTTGGATCACCGAAAATGTGTCTTGAGTGAGTTTCCTGGGCGTTTTCCTTTTGCGGTAGCTTTCATTATTCCAGTTAAATAAGTTCGTATTTTCTGTCTGCATCATCATCACACTACCATTACAAGAACCATTTTCCTTACTCGACTCCTGAATTTTGTTGTATCTTCTTTTACTGTCATAGTAATCATTCCTATAGCCTGTCACTGCTATCATTCAGATCGAAAGACCATATATAAATGCAATTCACAGTGACTATAGCAGCTTCTTATTTCACGCATCAACCATAAGCTTCCTTTCAAAACATATGCAAACTTTCGTTAGGACGACGTGCCATCAGCGGTACTGACCAAGTGTAAATGCATCACAGGGAAAACTGTGTGAACAGAACTAAAAATGATTTAAAATACTTTGCACTTGACATATTGAGCATTCAATAAAAACGCGGCTTCTTTAAAAGTAACTTTGTGTGTTCAATATCGTATGTGTTGTCGTGAGCCTGCATTTTTCAATATTACCGAACTTGTAGTCACGAAACCACACTTCCTAATAGTAATAACTTTTTCACCACGTTGACTTAGCCTGTGCTTAGGTAATCTTTTCTGTTGAGGGGTTAAAAAGTTTTGAATTCGACTTGTAGCATTATTCTTCTTCAGGCATTGAGTAAGTATATATGTATGTATATGAAGACATATATATGGGTACTGCATTTTATTTTCAACTTTCACGGCTCACCTTTGGTTGTGAGCCTAGTTGTTACGACTACACGATTATATATGTGATTCAAACTCTTCAATGCGCCCAAAAACTTCCAGCTGGGTAGTCCCAGCTGAAGTCATTATTGACTTTGTTCGCACTACAGAAAGTTTGGAACAGACTGCGAATAAGTGTTTCATGTTCTGAAGTGCTCTCGAAGAAATTGCTAGCTGGGAATGGTGATAAAATTTTGATTTCTGAAATTTCAAATCAAGAAATTGTGCGTCAGTAACTCAAGTTACAAAAAGAGTTCTGTTTGTAATCATATGCTCCCTCATTCAGAATTTTTGGGGCACGATGTCTTCATGCCAATGTGTTATGAATACTTAACTGCATTATTGTTTCTTTCTATCTGTAGACACTAAATTCATGTTTTCCTGTGTGTACTTCCTTGCCATCTGAAGCACTTCTGTGACTTATATTAGTGTGTGGAAACAGTTTGAAGGAAGTAAATGTTGTCAATATTTAGTAAATCTCTAACAATTAACCAGCTGAACTAAAAATGATCTGTCATAGTACCCACTGGACCAATAGTGTTTATAATCTCTTAGCTCGTATTTCAACACATGTATTTCAATACATGTTTTAGCATCCTGTATTATTTATTTATCACTGAAAGTTTTGCTGCGTGTGTTCGCACATGAAAAATATGTCTTGTGTTAAATGAAACTGATCACGTCGGTGGCGTAGCGGTTAGCACGCTCGCCGACGATGCACATGTCCGAGGTTCAATCCCCGACCGACGCACTCCTTTACCTCGCTAAGTCAGCAATAAAGCTGCTAAAGAGAGAAGGTTAGGCATGAGGCCAGCAAACCCATCCTGTAAAAATAAACACTGCTACATAAACTTCAAGCCTTCTAGCTTGAATCCCTATGATCCACTGGGGAACGTGAAGGAAAAAAAATAACAAATGAAACTGTGCCAATCTTCAGGCAAATCCCTTTTACGTTGTTTCATGAAATTCGAAAATATTAGGTTACTATTTAAGGTTTTATGTAGCCATGCTTAGCTCTACAAATCACTTTAGTGGAACTTTTTTTCATATAAACTGGTTAAGAAAATATGCATCTTATCGTGTCGCCTATAGTTTGATACTAGACTTTTGTCTATACATGTGTACATTTAAGTTTCTATATTCCATTCTAAATTACCATTTTCAATTTCAGACTCTTGTTTTTAAGGAATATAATAATAATTAGCTGCTTATTTTGTGTATTATAGTCCGGGTCGGCACATTGCTGTTATCGAAAAGCCTCTTGGATATAAATTTTCATCATGAGTTATGCGAGAATAGGATCCCATTTTGGGGTAATACAACCCCTTTTCACAGGTATTGCACATTTTCCAATCATATTCTGTTACTTACTTACTTGTCAGAATGTCTATAGGATATACCATTCTCACTTGTACATATATTTCACTAATTTTGGAAGCAGCCCCACGCAACCATTAGAAGACAGCCATAAGAAGTTTTGAGTAATACAAGATAACTACGAATATTGTATAGCCACTAGATATTTCAGATTTCACGGTTGCTTGACACTTAGTAATCAATCTCCAGGAATCCTAAGGTGATAACCTCACTATCATTTTGGTTATTAAATTTTCATTAGACACGGTAGTATTCTTTTCATGCTCACCTATGTTTAATTAAACAAAAGCTTTATAATTTCAGAATTATATAGTTAATTTGCTTTTGTAGACTTTCCAGCATTGAATAAATCATTATAAATCCCACATAGTTCAAGTCTTTTATTACTGTAGCAACATAACTTATGAGTGATGTTGCACACGTATTGACTTTCTTAAAGTTAGGATAATAATGCCTAGAATGCTAGTGGTTATTTACGCTTTCACGGCTTTTTACACTATATGATTTTGGTGTTTCCGGAACTTTTCAGGAGTTAGTTCGTAAGGATTAAATTTGTTTTTACGAGTTTAACCACGGATTGATATCAGTTAGAGAACCATTAAAAACCTCCAGGGAGTAATAGATAGCTTTTTCGTCAGCCTAGCTGGGAATCGTTGGCAGTATGCACCCACACACCAGGGTTCGAACCTAGGACCTTCCGGCTGCAAGGTAAGCTCCTATACCATTCAGCCACTGGGACCCGATTCAGTAGCCAACACACGAATTCTAACTTCTACCAATTCGTGGTTTAGCGCGACCATCAGCCAATGTCATCGGTGGGAAATCCATGCTTACACTTGACTGGTTGGACCTCACTGGTCACTTCTCCCTAGAACTCCAGGAAACTCTTTCCTGTAGCAATTCACTAGCGGGCATCATATTAATTTTCAAGAGTTGGTTTGTAAAGATTAAATTTTTTTACGAGTTTAGTATACGAGCTTGGCTTGTAGCCGCAAGGTCCTGGGTTCGAACACAAGTGGGTGCGTACTGCCGATGATTCCCAAACTCGAATGAAACAGCTGTCCGGTACTCCCTGAATGTTTTCAATGGTTCTCTAACTGATATCAATCCGTCGTTAAACTCGTTTCAATAACTATGATCGTAAATTATATCTCATACATTTTGTAATGAACAGTAAATCTCTCCAAAAATGTTTTCTACATTCATTTAAAACAGACTATTACGAACTGACAATGTCATATGGTTATTGGAAAGCTGGAAAAACTAATGATTTAGCAACATTTGAATTATTTTTTCGTAAAAATCCATTCAATGGAGAATTTACTATCTTTGCTGGTCTTCAAGATTGTGTTGACTATTTAAGTTCATTTAAATTCACTAAAGAAGGTAAATAAACTATTTCTACTAAACCGATTAAAAATGTTGTTTCTGCCCCTTTTTTAATACTTCTATTAATTCAGTTATCTGCTTCTCGATCGCTCATATGGAGTCGTCAACAAAGTGACCATTTGATAAATTTATTAAGATCTATTTCATTTCTGAAGGGGTTTTACGGTATTTGGTGAATATCAATGCTGTATCAGTTAGGTTAGGACTCTCGCCGACCGTGTACATGGTCCGAGGTTCGATCACCTGCCGACGCACACCTGATATCTATGGTTGGCCTGCAAAATTTTGGCTACCGATATCACATGCTGAAAATTCCATACTTGTGCCAAAAAGTACTGTGTGGAATCAAGCTGTAATCAAAAATAATCAAAATAAAAAAATAGCATATCAGCCATATTTAAAATTTGGTCGGACGACTACATTCAGCAACGTCAGTAAGCATCGTACTGCCAGTTTGCAAATTCCCGTATTTATTACTTCACTGGTTAACGTGGATGTTGCTACTAATTCTTGTCTGATATTTGAGACAGTCAGTTTCGTTTTTGCCAATCAAGTACGAGTGAGATTTTTTAAATAAAACATGCGTTAATTTGGTGAGAATTCGACGCATTTCAGAGTAGGTTTTATCATGAAGTGACACTAGCACGAGAATCATCTAAAACCCGGATGTTTAGTTTCCTCTGGTTCATAGTCTTTCAACAATGCATACCTGTAAATGCATTCTTGATAAAGCATAGGTCCATAAATTTTCGGTACTAGAGGGAAATCGGAAGTTACTAGTGGGTAAATGGCAATGTGCTCATCTCAAACATTCATAGACTTGAAACTGTTGTCTCAAGAGTTTGTCAGTATTCTGCATGAAGGCTTTTCAGTACCCTTTACTTTCCTATGGTTCTGTTGCCTGTGTCAGTTTTTATGAAGTCATCCTTGACGGTTGTACTTTGATGGCAGCGCCATGCTAATGAAATACACAAGGAATCAAACAAGAAATTCTTCAGTGTTTTCAGAATTTTATTTTCTGTATGTTATACTTAAAATGGTAACTTTTGTCATTACGAATAGAGCAAGAAGGATATGTACAAATGACCTCTTACAAGAGGAATTTGAATATATTCACGATTCCTTGACGGAGATAGGCTATCCGAGTAGTTTCATAAATAAACATATGAAAACATCAGAGAGAAAACCTAAGACTATGACTGCACGTAAAAACCTGTGTTTATTAAGTTAAAGTTTAATAGTGACTTATCAAGTGAGATTTTATTCCAGAGACTTTCCAGGAGTACATGAAGAACGTTTTACACAGCATACCTATGTTTGTCATTCTCTAGCCGAAGAATGATTGGCACGCAAACGAAAGATAAGCTAGTTCTGCCACTTCTATTCGTATTTGTCAATCCAACTGCATCTGCGGTGAAAGTTATGTTGGGCGTACTGCTAGACAGTTTAGCCAACGTGTTACTGAACATCTTCCATCGTGGTTTGGCAAAGGACAGGCAAAAACAATCCGTAACTTCATTTTGTCACATTTAGTTGATAGTGGTCATGTAATGGAGAAAACGAAAGCATTCAAGGTAATCCATCGTATCCCACCGAATCTTTCCATTAGAATTCGTTTTCGTCTACTGCACACATCTGAGGCGGTAGACATTCAAACTATTAAACTTAAACTACACACTCAAAAGAAGTTCGTGCAGACATTATCCCTCCCTTGGCCTATTAAGACCTAACCGGCTGATGACTTCTCCACCACCCCTAACTTACATTTTCAATCCCTCTCTTATCAACCATTTAACTTACTAAATCTTCATTAAACATGGTTTATTTGCTTCGGTTACAATCTAACATTACTTCATCGGTTCATTTGTTTTTCTTAGCCTTTATTGACCATTTCTACCTGAACATTTGTTTGTTTAATCATGCTGTTCTTCATTATTCGTGTTATTACAGATTGCCTCACTTTTTCATCCTTGTTATTGGTAGAACCATTATTATTACCATTGCTACTATTATGACTAATTGCACAATTTATATTCACCATCTTATTGTTCTATAGACAAGACGCCATGACTGGTTTATATTTGAACTTTTATTTGTAAAGTTATGTGTATTGGAGTTAAGACTGATGAGATCGAATTGAAAACACCATTCTGTTCGCTTAAGTGTGTTGTTCTAAATTTAAGACATTTGATGGTTATATGGGTTTTCAAACTTAGAAGTTATCAGTATATTTTTGAACTCAACTGCGGTAATGAATGACACCTGAAAAAGTACTACTAACGATAATCTCACAGAAAATAAAACACACTGAAGTTACATTGTTCAGTCTGATGTACGGTATTTCCTGTCCATCATCGTAGCATGAAGTGTTATATAATTGACTGTCACATAATTAGTCGTCATCTTATTGCCTTTTTCATACTTTTATGAACCAGGTAAATAAACTCTAACTAAACGTTTTGTCTTAAAATTTAGTATAGCAAAAATATTCATTCAGACATCAATAAAACACAAAATAATCGATAAATTCCTCTTCTGGTTCTACAATTATATATATGTTCATATACACAGAATATTCTAGAATAGTGGTCAATAACAACATTGATGTTTTTTAAATAATATCGGTTTGTAAAGTATGATAAATGCAATTACAGTTCATTAAAGATGCTTAAATAATAATAATAATAATAAAGAAATAGTAGCAAATAGAATATCAACTAAAATTACAAAAATTCCACAAAAATTGAAGATCATTCGAACCTAGATGGCCGAGGTAAGGATAATGTCTGAAATAACTTCTTTCGGACGCACGAATTAGGCTTCTTAATATGGATCCTAACAGCCAGCCTCAGCAATATTTAGTAATCGAACTCTTAAGGCAAAATTAAGATTTGTTGGTATGCGGTAAATGACTCTGAAAGCCTTGTGTTCTGTATCCACAAGATGAGATAGAATAGCACTGCGAATAGATTTTGTTTGTCCTATGCTTAACCACGCAGGGTGATGTTTGGAAATTCGACGAGAAACACGCCTAATTTTGCGGCCTTTGTAACTGGCTCCACAGGAGCAGTTAAAGTGGTAGATACACATGGATGACGCGAAATTAGGCAGTGTTTCTTTTACTTCCGAACGCAAAAGAGGAGTGGTTTTGAAGATACAGAGTAATTCGGCAGCAGTGAATTCTCTTTTTACCGCCTTTCTAGGGCGCTGTGTTAGTATCTCGCTGGTGTTGTCCCCAAAGAACTGCATCTGTAAGAATAAGGCCTTTTTGGAACTGTTGGTAACTTGGGCTGCTTTGGTTTTTGATTCACATTCTTATCAATAAACTTTTCAGGATAACCATTTTCACTTAGCAACCGTTTAATATAAGACATTTTTATCCGAGCAAATCCCTCTTGCTTTGTGAACCGATCACTTTATCAGATTGCGTTTGTATTTCAAGGGCACGAAGCTGAGAAAATGTGTTTACTGACCCGTCCTCTTTTCTGGTCATAAGGACATCTAAAATTGAAATACTAGTGTCTTTTTTTCTCAATAGTGAAATTTATTGCAGGATGAACCTCATGAAATTTATCCAGGATGCTCTTTGCTTCCTTCTCATTTTTCATAATCAAAAATTTAGTGTATGTAGGCATTTATGCATATACTGTTTTAAAACCTATTTGATCTAATTGGTTAAATTCATTTCCAGAATCAGGCGATAAATTCACTAATGCCAATACTTTTTCCGGATATAACGTAAAGCTTTTTATCGATATGACATAAGATGAAGGCTTGTTTATAACAACAAGACGTGTACAAGATGTGCGCAAGAGAAGGGTCATATTATGATTGTATGAAGCAGCATATATCATCATCATTATCATTACCCACAAAGAATGTCATAATCAATAGTCAAAATATTTACTTTAATAGTTTCATACTTTTAAATGGATACAAATATTTTGGGTTTATTGACATTTAACTTAACTTATCACCTTTTAAACAAACCACTATCTAAATATGCTAAATAAAATCACGTATTTATTCTTAGAGGTTTATACTATTCCTTGCCAGCTTTGTTTACCACAAACAATTGTGAATAACGCGTCGAAAAGTACTACATTTTTCAGCTGCAGCTTCTAGGTGTATTCTTTATCTCGAAAGTAACTCTTCCAGTAAATAGCTGAGGAAATTTCCTCTGTATTTCTCTAGACATGAGTTGGCATCTTTGTTTCCAAACTGATAACAAGTTCCTTTGACTAATTTCAAGCATGCATAGAAACTCACTTGTTATAATGACATTTAGTTCGGATGTATACTAAGCTGTCCGGTTTGCTAAAGTTGTTATAAACTTAGAAGGAGCTAAGTTTCTATCGATTGTTAGTAATTATTATTATTATTGTTCCCTTGAGTTCCTAATGGAACATAGGGCTTCAACTGCACGTCTCCCCTTGCTTCTGTCTTCTACTGTACTTTTCACCTGCATCCATGTTAGTCCATACTCTTTCAACTCCTCTTCACACGATCTCCTCCATGTCACCCTTGGACGTCCCACTCGCCGCTTCCCTTTCGGGTTCCACTCGAGCAATGGCCTGACCCGCGCACGATGTCACACAGCCGTCTCCTCAGCGAGTGTCCAATCCATCTCCACTTTCTCCTGCATATTTGTTGGTTGGCGATTGGTTCTTGTTTTGTTTGTTTGTTCTCATAGTTTCTTGTTGGTGGTTCTTTCCGGCCCGGCCATCTGATCTTCAGTATAGATCCAGCGAAGACAGTTGTTGGTTGATGGTCTGCAATAGCCTGTTGAAAATATTCTTTGTGACCCGCCCGCCAAGTTCCTGATCCGTATAGAAGAACTGACTGACTTGACGTTGTTTGTATTGAAAATTCGACCGAATTTTGTTGTTGTTGCTGGCTGAGTGACGAAGATTTCCAGATTGGTTTCAGGTTGATGAATGTGTGTGTTTCTCGCCTTCCTGATTCTCGCTGGATTTGACATCCTCGTCCGTTCCTCCTGTAGTTGGGACAACGCTCTCTAGATAAGTGAGTGAATGAAGTAACCTCTTTCAAATCCCTCCCGTTGATGGTGATTGGGAGTGGATGTTGCTGCTCTTGTTGTTGTTGTTGGTTGGTTATTTTCATAACCTCCGTCTTGTCTATGTTCACATGGAGTCCTGTCTTCGCCGACTGCTTCTTCGACCAGTTTGTCGGTTTTCGCTTGTAAGTCTTCGATTTTGTGTGACATCAAACATAAATCATCCACGCGCGAAATCCAGGTCTTCTAGGTTCTTCACGTTAGTAATAGTTCACCATAATATCCTGAAAACAGTGGTTATTCACTCAGTGAGCTACAAACATTTTAGGCGGTTCGGAATTTCATTGATACCTATCAGTAGGGTTTCAACTCGTATTCTGTGTACACTCTAGAAAACTATGATGATTTCAGTCAACAAACTTGGAATTTCTGTTCAAAGGAACATTGTTTATTTACCTGCCAACCTCATGTTTCTATTATTAGTTTAGAACATTTTTTAAAATTCTTTTTTTTCATTTTGTACCCTTCACGTTTCTAACAGTTTTGTCCGAATTTGAGTGTCTAACTTATTTTTTGCTGTTTTACCTTTCTGGATTAGTCTGTTATTTAGGCCATATTGACAGTACAGTTTTCGAGGTTCACTAGTAATAAGGCTATGGTTAAAAGACTTGAGGGGATCAGATAAAAAAAGACATTCAATAAATCATCTTGTTAGTAAGATGAATAAACAAGTATGTTCGCCTAAGTTTGTTTTAATCTACTTATATGTTTCTTTTTTGTTGTCAAAGTGTAAATGAAGCCAGTGAATAAATAAAGGATTTCTCTTTTGATTTTTTGTTTTATCACTGTCAGATATTGACTATTTGAAAACAATTATGCCGTCAACTGTAGAGCCTGATTTCTTTGACTATTTATTAAATATTGATGCAAATGAATTATCCTTATGGTCAGTTGAAGAATGCTGTGTAGTATTTCCAAAAGTGCCTATTATGCGTATTGAAGGACCTATAATATTATGCCAAATTGTTGAATCAACAATATAAATTTAGTGAATTATGCCAGGTAACTAATCTCTTTTTTTATTGATTCGAGTTTGTATAATGTAAGTATATTCACAAATTATGTTAAATGGTTAGAGGCAATCATCACGAAGCTCTGGGCTAAGCTTTCGTTCTTACTAACACTCATCACAAGGTATATCTTCAACTTCGATAGCACTGGTTTCCCATCGGAGATTTGAACCCCACACTACACAGTGCAGCAGTCATATACATAACTAATAAGCTATTCAGGCCCACTCCTGACCTCCCACTAGGTTGTAATGGATACATTGATTAGTGATATTAGATGACTGGCGGCAGTCGGCTGGAAGCTTTGGACCTAGGTTTCGTGCTAGTTGGCTACTCATCAGTCAGTAAGGTGTATTTGCGACCTTGAAGGATTCATGTCCACCCCTGAGATTCGAACCCGCGTCACCCAGTGCCGCCTGCAGTCAGAGACGTTACCATTGAGGTATTCGGGCCCGCCCAGTCACTTAGGAGTAACTGATGTCACGTATCTAACCCTCAGTGTTATTGCTGGTTGAATTCTATCAATCATGCTCGCAAGCTAAGTTGTATTTTAAAGTGAGATGTTAAGTGCAGTTAGTTTCTCGATAAACCAATCATCACTAAGTTGCTTGGCTGTGTAACAACAGAAGACAAGGGTCAGGCAATAGATCGTTCATTGAGAAAATCAAGAGATATTTATAGATTTTTATGTCCGTTATTATTCGTTATTTTAACAGAGAAGCAACGTCTTCTGACTAGTTGTTTTCTTGCTGAAGGTTATTCTATACTGCTTGTGACAGCTGCTTGCAAAGTTATCCATATATCTGCGACTCTTATTTGCACACGCTAAGTTTGCTATGATTGGTTGTTGAGTTCCTCATGGTTAGGCTTTGTTCTTGTTTTTTCGCATGGACGTAAACTGTTGTCTACAATTTTGTCTTGCAGACAGCTCTCAACACAGCTGTAGCATACATCTCATCTTGAAGAGGAATGATTTATCAAATACTATAAGAAATAAATATCTAGTAATCTTAACACTATATCCCACTTAAAAAAGTATTATCTAAGAGTTTACATTTTTGCAAGTTTTGTGTTTTATAACATACGTGAATCCCAGTCAACTTTTACTATGTTACTTCAAGTTTAGTGGGCTGGAATAAGGATGTTGATTCATCAGTTTACGCGTGCAGTAAACGAGTTCGTATCGTGTTTCACCAATTTGGATGGGATTATCTTCGACTATCCTTCATATCTATGTATTATTTGTTTCCCACTCTATTCCGTCAGTCGCCGTCTCCATAGGAATTGCACCAATCACCAATTATTTTTCCCCACATATTTATAACATCTGGTCATTTATAGATCAGACTATAAATTGTTTCAAGTAAAAAAGAATATAAGAGTAATTTATTTCTAATCATGAAATCTGATAGGTGAGTTTTATCTTTCAGTTTAATAGCAACAAATGCTGCACGTTTCCGCCTAGCTTGTGGTTCAAATATAAAACTGTATGAATTTGGTTTACGTCGAGCTCAAGGACCAGATGGAGCACTTTCCGCTTCGAAATACTCATATTTAGGAGGTATCATATAGTAAATAATAATCATAGTCAATTTTACTATATATATATATATATATATATATATATATATATATTAGCATATAATTTTCACACTTTATCTTACATTAGTGTTTGGTTTTTTCGTTATTGTTGTTGGCAGATTCATTTTTCCATTGTGGATAGAGTTTATTTTGATAAAGTCTCACAGTGTTATACAATAATGTTGACTGATGATCACGTTTCGAGCGCAGTTTATCACCACTCATAATCATATCAACGGTGGCATAGTGGTTAGGACTCTCGCCGACCATGCATATGTTCCGAGGTTCGAGCCCACGCCGACGCACACCTGATATCTATGGTCGGCCTGCGAAATTTGGGCTACCGATATCCACGCTGAAAATTCCATACTTGTACCAAAAATACGGTGTGGAATCAAGCTGTAACCAAAAAAAAATTTCTAGCGTCCTTTATGTAATTCCCTTATTTTTCATCGCTTGACTTGATTGGTAGTAGTATTTCCCATATTTTCGGTATGAGTGATGAGTCATTTCTATTTCAAGTGTTGCGTGTAGATTCTATGAATAAAGATTCAATAATCAAACTCCCTCTCCACCTTCCTATACTACTTTTTAGAATTTTGACTCTGTCCCACCCTAGTAGTGTGTGATTGTATGCTAATGCATACAGTGCGATTGCTGAGCCTTTTTCTAAATTACGTATCTTCGTGGGGTCAGTCATTCTAAACTTGGCTAAATTTTTCTATTCTAACAATTGACTACCGCCGATCTACTAGTTTGAGCTATATAGTTAATCACACTCAGTCATTAAAAGGTATTTCGTAAATTTTATTATTTAATTTAATTGGGTCAACTGGGTCCTTTAACCTACACAACTTGTCCCTGAGTGAGTTTGTAGGTTTGAATGACACTTGAATTCCTGCTTTATCAAGAATCTACTAAGACTCTCAGATATGGAAAATATTACTACCAATCAAATCAAGCAATGAAAAATAATGGAATTATATAAACGACGTTAGAAATTTGTGTAACTTGATATGATTATAAGCAATAAATTGTGCTTGAAAGTGGTCATCAGTAAATATTATTGTATAAACCTGTGAGACTTTATCAAAACAAATTTTACCCACAGTGGAATTATGCTCTATCACAGTGCACAAGTTCTATTCTTATATGAGATTCGTTTTACTCCATATTACTTGATTCAGTTAACTTTGTCCCTATAAAATAGGCTAATTTTCTGTGAAAAGTGAAACAAAAATACAATCAGATAAGGCTGGTGTGATTTGATCCTTATTAATGGAGTTACATCCGTCCACTAAAAAGTACAAATGAGGTATAGCGAAGCTGGTGAAACTAACAACAATTTTGTTTACAAACAAACAGAATTGAATTCTATCTCTAAAGATTTAGTGTCTAGTTGTAATTTTCAGAAGAACCCTATGATTTAATCTATACAACGATAAAACTCTTGAGGATTAGAGTGCACTAAAGTTGGTTCACGAGCTCGCCTTATGACCAGAAGGCCCTGGGTTCGAATCCAGTTGGTGGGTACTATTGAAGAGTCTTAAACAAGAACGAAACAGTTGTTCAGTACTCCCAGATGGTTTTCCAATGGTTCTCTAACCGACGCTAGCTCATGATGAAATCCTGTAACCAGAATACTGGTGTCTTGTAGACAAAACATCACTCTGTAGTTATCTAGTATTTTCCTAGACGTCTTATTATTGAGTTAGATGTATAGTATATACAGTAATAAGGACAGAAATTTTTAGCACGTTTAGCTGCAAAATCTGTTTCCCTCTTCGTACAGGATCTACAAGTAAAATAATAATCACCGGTATATCAGTATGAAGCAGTGTTGTTTCATATAAGTAAAGATCTAATTCTCTACGATATTTCTTCTTCACTTCCTTCAAGAAGTGCATAGCAGTATGGTGAAGACTAATTAAAAATGTGGACGAGATCATGCAGTGATCGATGGATACAATTGCATGAGTAAAACAATAAGAAATTCAGAAGAGTTTAAGCACTATGATGGAAGGAGATTTTTGGTTTCCTAGCGATTTAAGTTCGCCGCCTTATAGAAATGATAAAGCGTGTCTATTGTGAAATAACAGAATTTATAAATTATCGTTGAATGCTTCTTTCTGTCTAGTAAATTTCCCCTAAGCAGGTTCCCATGATCTTTAATCATCAATAGACCTTACATACGATTCCTTGAAAAATTTCATGAAAATTACAAACTAGAGGTAGATGAGTTAGTTGCTTTTCTGTGACATTAAAGTACTGATTCACTGTATTACAGATCGATCTGAAATGTAAAAGTAACTCATTAAGACAAAAGGTACATGAGTTCCATTCAGGCGATGTCCATCTTGCTTTCTACTGACAAATAGGATTTAAGAGCTGGAACAGCTGAGACAATCGGAACTATTTAGTCAAATCTTGATCACAGTTCATATGAAAACAGTTGACTGTTTTTATTTCGGATAGGTTAAACTGCAGCTTTCGCTTCCAATTTGTAAGTCTGTATCAGTATGTCAAGACAGCAAGGCTGAATGATGATTGCTCATAAGAATTATGTTTCTGAACTAAGATTAGATGACAATAAAAACTATTTAATTGAATTTTTAGATTTTTGCACCGAAGTGCTTGGTCTCGGGTTGTCATGTTGACGATATCGAAGCATCTGCACAAGAAGCCGACATGACAACCTGAGACCGAGTACTTCGGTCCAATCAATCGACTGGAAAATCTAAAAATTCAATTAAATAACTAATATGACCCGCTGCAAAAGAGGGGGCTCTGTGGTCCAATGGTCTAGTGGATAACGCTTTGGCATTTGAAATTACGGGCACTGAGATCGAGCCTCGTGGGAACATCATCACTCAATGGGGAATGCAGGCACATCCAGATGACGAGTCCCAAATAGGACGAAATGCGCATCCTGGATTCCACTGCTAGTCACTATCCACCAATTAGACAATAAAAACTGTTCATCATGCACATATATTCATGGTTTTCTTGTTAAGTGAGAGTAAGGTACCATCTGTACGAGAAAACACGATCTAAACTATGTGAACGATTTCAAAAGTAATGAATAGCCATTCAGAGATGAGCATGTAGCCATTAAATACGAGCTTGACTTTCTACCAAACTGTAACCATATTTTAATAGATATAATAAGACACTAGAAATGACAGCAGTCAGTTATTGATTTCATGTCAGAATTTTCAGTTATTTTTATTACTTAGGGTATTTTTCTTGATGCTCATTACCGAAATGTAAAATCTTTCTACCTCACTGCTGCATAAATTGTTTAGTTTATTACAGATAAACGTTAATAAGGACAGCTGTTTCTTCATACTGTATATTTAACTTGTTGCACGACAAAAAATAAACTTGTTCTTACTGTCTTTATAGAGAGGAAGAACGAGTAGATTTATTTATGGTTTTTAAGAACCTCTCAGCGGATATGGCAAAAAGGTATCACTATGCTATTCGGTTTTCTTACTTTTCTATTTACACATGTATTACTTATACTCCGATAACCATTGGATATACTATCAACTCAGAAGCTATCTAAGGTGGATGCATAGAAAAAGTTCAGTTTAGTTAATAAACTTACCAACAGAACATTGACCTACAGTAAAGAGATCGAATATTTTTGTCATCTATCTGCGAGTCACTTCCAAAAAGTCACTAAATAGAAACAGAGGTCATGGATTATCAGTTCAATCAATCCAGAGTTTAGTTGAACGATTGAACTCAGAAAACTTGGGGGATCTGGACTTCGCCGATGATATTTGTCTGATTTCCCACAAACTGGAAGATATGCAAGTGAAAAGCAACAAGTGGACAGAAGAAGCATCAAATTCAGGTGGACATAGAGAAAACATGAAGATTCCTGGCAAAGAGCGAGAGACGAAATTCAGCATAAATGGGAGGAACCTGAAAGAAACAACCTCCTTGATCTGCTTTGGAAGCATCGTTTCAACTACAGGCGGAACTGACGGGGATATCCAAGTGAGGATCGGAAAAGCAAGACAAGCTTTCATTACTTTTAAGTCTACGTGGAAGTCAACAGCACTCACCATGGAGAATAAGATCCGGATTTTCAACTCCAATGTGAAGTCAGTGCTACTTACTATGCGGATCAGAAATGTGGCGTGTCAAGAAGTGCACTTCAAACAAACTATAGACCTTCATCAACAACTGTCCTTTCTCAATACTCAAGATCAGATAGCCAGAAATCATCAGCAATAGGGAGGGATCTCTGGGAGCGAAGCAACCCAGCAGGAACTAATTTTGCAACAAATAGGCAGGAAGAAATGGAAGCGGATTGTCCATACTCTGAGAAAACCATCAAGTGACATCACAAGACAGGCCCTCGAGTGGAACTCGAACGGGAAGCGGAGAGTTGGTCGTCAGTACGGGGTTGACATGGAGGAGGTGGTGTGAAGAGGAGATGAAAGCCTGTGGATGGACGTGGAGCCAGATGAAAACGTTGGCAGAGAACGGAACGCAATGGAGACGTGCGGCTGAAGCTCTATTTTCCTCTAGGAAGCAAAGGAAACAATAATGATAATAACTGAACCCAGACATGACTTTTCTGATTGGTTTGAGTTACTAGTTGTTCAAGTCTTCACTCATTTCCATTGTATATTTGTGAATAATAGTCACTAAAAGGAAAATATTTGCACTGGATAGTGGTATTTGACTAATGTTACAATATTACTTTTGATATAAATGCAGAAGGACACCAGACATGGATATTTTGCGTGGACTTATCACAGTTACCTTTTAAAGTTTTGGGTTACCATAGAGTGAGATATATATATATATATATATATATATATTTATATATTTTTATTATTATATTATTATTATGACTCCATACAGTATTTTTGATAAAAATATGGAATTTCCAGCATGTGATAACGGTAGCCCAATTTTGCCGGCCGACGATTGATATCAGGTGTGCGCCGGCAGGGGATCAAACCCCGGACCATGTGCATGGTCGGCGAGCGTTCTAACCGCCGTGCCATGGACGCACAAAAGTAATATCATTGTCAACTAACCTTGTATAGTGAAAGAAGCAGAAAACTCGAAACGAAAATGAGTATAGAATGTTATACCACTTCTTAAAGCTGCTGAATGTTAACCTTACGCCCATGGAGATATAATAACTTAAGCCATCACGTAGTTTTTTTATTCCTTTACGTTCCCAATGGAATATAGAGCTTCAAGCTAGAGGTTTGAAGTTTCGGTAGCAGCGGTGTTTATCTTTTTGGGATGGAGTTGCTAGCCCCATGCCCAACTTTTCCTCTTTACCAGTCTTATAACTGGCTTAGCGGGTAAAGGAGTGCGTCGGTCGAGGATTGAACCTCGGACCGCTTGGGTAGTAAGCGAGCATTCTACCTCTGTGTCACCGACTGCATTACTTAGTACTACTGATAATATCTTCCTCTCTTCTTGACAATTATTAGCCTATGGCAGACGAAACCACAAGGAAGCCGTCTAATTGTTTACTTTTTCTCTCGTCGAAATTTCACGAATCATTCAAGTTAATGATGTGTAAATTATTGTATAGTGTGTTTAATTATGTCTTCTAATAATTTAAACTGAAGTGACTCTGCTTCTGTACAAAATAAAACGGTATCAAATGTTTGAATACCTATCAAATTTTATTTTAGATTTTCTTTGGTTTTACTTTACCCCTCATATAATGTATATCCTGTTTCAGGTTGTGATGGAACAAGTAATGTTTTAGCTGGAAAAATTTATGGTATTCCAGTAGTTGGAACAAATGCACATTCATTCATTTCAGCTTTTCAAGGAAGTTGTATGTATGTAAGTTTCTTCTTTTTACTAGTTTATAGCTGGCAACATTGCTAATTGAAAATATAAAGTTCATATAGGTAGTGTTTTTAGGCATTTTAATACTGACGAGAATTTGACTAATGCTGATTAGTTAGTGATTTCTGTAATCATTTCTCTTTACTTGTTAAAAGTAAAATGATAGATTGACTGGTGATATAGATATGTATGTTTAACCATGCAAACTAATGTGATATGTTTAATGCATTGATGTTTAAGCGGAATTTATCACTACAAGATGAAATCGGACAATGTGTTTCAACTAAAGGATTGACAAAGGTTAAAAATTGCAAGTCACTAAATTATCAACAAGCTTGGCCTGGTAACCTGAAGGTCCCAGGTTTGATCCTCAATGGGGTTATAGATTTGTGCTATTGAAGAGGCCCAGACTACGATAAAAAACAGCTTTCCAGTACTCCCTGGTTTCCAGTGGTTCTCCGACTGAAATATCAAACCATGATCGAACTTGAAACAAACCAAATCCTTACAGATAACTTTCGGAAACTGAAGAATATGTGCTGTTAGTCGCCAGAATATATCTCTGTAATTGTAGTTATACTATATTAAAAGACTTGTCTGTATTCCGGTAAAAGTAAAAGTAAATAACTTGAAAGGTGGGGTTATACTTCTTACAGTGATGGTGTACTGCTAGTTCAACAGCATATGGGGCGCATAAGATGTTTTTGCCAACTAACTAGTATTTCATCTGTGCTGTCTTACTTAGACCAGTAAGAGGCGTTTGAGCTTAACCATTATGGATCTTGCCCTGCACTACACCCTTCCGTCATAAACGGTTAAGCGATTTAAGGCAGGATTCAGTTGTGTAAAACGTACTGTCTTTAAAAATCAGCGTATAATTGACTCCAAGGTGAAAGGTGCAACTTTTTGCATTCACCAAGTGGACATTGACTTTCAAACTGAAATGATACACTTTTATGTTGATCTATCTGCTCTTATTCAGTCGTATTACAACAAACACCAAATACTGATGATAGATTTAACGTTTCATTGTAATCAAGCTTCTTTTTGATCAATTTTTAACGACAGAAGACAATGGCCTGGCAACAGATCATTTATTGAGAAAATCAAGAGATATATTTAGATTTTTATGTACATTATTTTCAGCGAAGAAGCAAAGTCTTCTGATTGGTTGTTTTCTTGCTGAAGGTTATTCTGTACTGCTCGTGATCGTTTATTAGAAAGTTAAGCCGTATATCTGCGAATCGTATTTGCATACGTTAAGTCTGCTATGATTAGTTGGTGAGTTCTTCGAGGCTAAGCTTTATTACAGGATTTCATCATGAGCTGACATTAGTTAGAGAACCATTGGAAAATCTGGGAGTACTGGACAGCTGTTTCGTCCTAGTTTGAGACTCTTCATCACTACGCACCCACTGGGATTCGAACCCAGGACCTTTTGGTTACAAGGCGAGGTCGTATACCATTAAGCCACTGGGACCCGATCCAATAGCCCATGAATTCTAACTTCTGTCAGTTCACGACATAGCGTGACCCCTAGTCAATATCTTCGGCGAGTATTTATTCTCACATCCGACCTGGTGCACCCTACTGGTCACGACTTCTCACTAGAACCCCAGGTAACCACCTACCTGAATATGCCTAAGTTTTGTTATTGTTTTGCTTATGACCCTGATTCGGTGCGTGAACACTGACGTAAGTTGTTGTCTACAATTTTGGCTTGCAGCCAGTTCTCACCACAAGTTTAGCTGTTTCTTGCAAAATGGTATTACACCTGTACTGAACAAGAATTTTACTTTTTATCTGCATATCCTGTAGATATATATCAAAGACATGATAACTTCTCTTTTTACTGTTTTCAAGGAAGAAGGAATTAAAGAATCAGAAAAGTTGATCGGAAAGGCAAACGGCTTAGATAGTTCGCATAATAACCTCCAAAATTCGACTGATCAACCAATGAAACTAACAGAGTTTTTAAAACGTTGTTGGCATTGGTCAGTCACTTTATCTCATCTACTGAAATATCAGTCAGATCAAATACATCCAGGCGAACTGACTGCATTTGCTAATTTTGCTATTGCATTCCCTACAAAATTTATTGGTCTACTTGACACATATAATGTAATCAAGTAAGGTTTTTTGTTCATTTTTCGATTCTCTTCGTTTTTTTTCCGAGTATGTATTAATCGAAAATTGGTAATTCAGTGTCAGTTTGTTTACTGGATATATCACATAGTGCAACATAAATATTTAGTGGATGACGTTTCGAATATAATTCGTTGTATACTAATGATGCAAATCGTCCACCGGGGGAGGAGGCATCTGAGTGGTTGCACTATAGGATGGTAACGTACACGGTTCTGGTTTTCAAATGGACTGGGATAAGTGTTTTCGGTTTTCCGGAAAACCAGTGTATAACTACCTAGTCAGTAGGTGCATCTCCATGTGAATAAACTGGTTGGTCCTGTCAGTAGTCATGTGTTTGTCTCGGAGATTAAGTCATGCATGTCTAAGTGCATACAATGAAATAGTGAATCTGCTAACGGCTCATTAAATCAGTTATGGTTCCTATAGATAACTAGTACTTGTGGGACTAATACAAGCAATTATGCCCTGATTCTCAACTGAACGGGCGCATTTATTAGAAGAGAACTAAGTGGGGGCAGTTTTATTTGTCTCTATTGAATCCTGTAATGAATCCCAATAAATTTAATCATCACAGTCGGCCTTAAATCGGTTCCAGATCTTTCAAATGCCCACCCTATTAATTTGTTGGTTAATGATATGCTCACCATGATTATAACGGATAATCAACAGTGACATGATTATGAATAATAAGTTCTGTTCAAAAGGTCATCCAGTAGGTAATAATGTTCCACTGTGTGACGTATCCATTAAACAAGTAGATAAGGAGTTACGAAATACCACAGCACCCAAGTTTTACCTATATATGCAATTCGGTAAAGTGGAGGAATATTGTATAACTGTGAGACTAGTAGGATATTTACTGTTTATTGATAGTTTCTGCTTTTTATAAAGACCTCTTAATTGTAAACATAATAAACTATGATGTTGACTAGAGTTATGGACTTAACCCTAACTCACTTCAGAGACTCAGGGACTGACTTGCTACCAGGGAATAATCTCGTTGGCTTAGAATATGCAGACGATATAGTCCTTCTAGGCGAGGACGCTAACAAAATGCAGAGTCTTCTGAACACCTTGAGCTGCAATCTACGAATGTTTGGCATGCGATTCGCTCCCGCCAAATGCAAGATGATGTTACAGGACTGGACCACACTGACTCCTAGATTAGAAATAGGGAGTGAAGTGGTAGAGCACGTTGACCGCTTCACTTATATGGTAAGCTGCATCAGCTAGCCCCAACGGGTCGATTTCTGATGAAATCTCAGCACGGATACAAAGGGCTAGTTTCACGTATGCCAGTTTACGCCGTCTCTTGCGTATGAGTGATATCCGGCTATCGACTAAAGGGCGGGTGTACTGCTCATCAGTCCGCTCCGTCCTCCTTTATAGCCAGCTGTGAGACATGGCCATTGAGACTGGAAGACATGAACAGATTAGCTGTCTTTGATCATAGGCGCCTGCGCTCTATCTCTCGTGTGAAGTGGTATAATAAGGTGAGCAATATTGAGGTTAGGCGTCGAGTGCTAGGTAAGGAGGGGAAATTGATCGATGAGGCTGTGAAGCTGCGTCGACTGAGATGGTTAGGACATGTGTTACAGATGCCTAGTCATCGCCTTCCTCGACGAGCAATGTTAGCTGGCTGACATAGGGTCAGGCTGGAAAAGAGCTAGAGGCGGTCAAACCAAAACATGGAACCAGTCAATGAAATCCACAACAGTTAGTTTAAGCCACGTAGGAAGGTGAAGGCTTCCTGTTTGAGGTCCTGGGACGGTAAAAACCAATGGTTGGAAACAATTGGTGACATGGCTCCAAATCGTCGTTCTCAATGGCTGGCGCGGATGCGTCCACTCCTTGTGACTTCTGATTTCCAATGAAACTACATTGTTCTTCGTTACTTCTATTCCTTTGTCTCACACCTCTGTTTACTGTCTCTATTATGCATTTCTTCTACTTTCTTCTCTTGCTTTGTGTGCTACAAGGAGGGAGTGTGGCGACTTGAACTGCCACACATATGTGAAAAGTTCTATGTCGAAAACAGACAGACAGAAACTACGATGTTTAGTTTCTCAGTTGTGTCGTTCTTTTTCACAACTCTTTCGATGAGTCATAATCAACAGTAAATAAATCAACCATAACATGACTTGATGTTGCTGCTTTAATTTGTTTACTGCTTGTCTTCACAAAAGGGATTAAAAGTGACTAGACAGTTTACTGTGCACTCACTATACAGTTATGTGAATATTCCAATGTAAGACTGACACTTAAATTCTTCCCTAATCTGTTAATATTTCCCAACATACGCTTCACTTAAAAGTCCCTTTTAATGCGATTAAGCATAAGTCATTTCTGTATGCAGCAATCTATAAAAAAAACAATAAGTTAAGCATTCTCTTTTAGGATACGATGAACCAACCTTTGGCTGTTAATTGATTAGTCTTTCTTTCGGATTTTTCCCTTGAACGTTATCTAATCTTGACAATCTCTAGTATTACTAAAGGTAATGTAAATAAATTTGGAATGAAGAAAACTCATTCATTTATACTTGTATGGTCTTTTTAATTTGGAGTCATGTGAATGCCTTGAAAAATGATTTATTCATCAACTTTTGAACTACCTGTATCATTAATATGTCTTATTACTACTAAGTGTCACTATGCTTGAACACATCTTTGAAGCACAACTTTGAGATGATTTGATGTATCAGACTGCATCTAAGCAACATCGTCATGACAGAAGACAAAACTGTTTCTATGGTATGCACAACACAACAGACGAAGACTGACGCCAGCATACTATATACAGGGTGGTTGACAAGCTGGACGAAACAAATGGCTGTAACCTCAGAAAAGAGAGTAATTGACTTTAATCGGCAGCATGTTTGTAATGAATGATAAAACTTCCTACGTTAAGGTATCGAAAGATGTTTTCAGGAGTTAGTTTTTAGGGATTTAATTCGTTTCAAGTTTGACCATCGACTGATATCAGTTAAAAGACCACTGGAAACTGAGAAGTATTGGACAGTTACTTCGTCCTAGTTTGAGATTCATCGGTAATGCGCACTCACCGGAGTAAGGATGCAGGAGCTTCCAGTTACTGTCGGTCATTCCTAAACTAGGACGAAACAGCTGTCCAGTACTGCCTGTTTTTCGATAGTTCTCTAACTGAAGTCAATCGATGGGAAAACTTGAAACATCAAACTAAAAGATAGTTTGAGAACAAAGCTGTGTATCAGGGAAGTGGCACAATACTGTTTTAGTATGCAAGCTTTTCAAATATACTTATTGGTAGGGGTAAATATTATCCTTCTGAGTTCACTGGGTGAACACTAGCTGGTAACTAGTATAATGTGTCTAGTCCTTCGTCTGGTGCAGACTAAATTCTATCAGTCAAGTCTGCAATATAACCACCATGCTAGGTGACCAGCCATCACGGTGCACCTTGAATAGTTGATATTAGATTGTTGGAGGGAGTCAGCAGTAAGCCTTGGACATAGGTTTCTTGCTAGTTGACACTCGTCAGCAAGGCGCACCAGCAACCTTGAAGGAACTCATGTCCATTGTAATATTCAAAACCGCGTTACTAGCTAGTGCCTAATCCAAGTATCCAATACATTTCTACAGGAGGTCTATCTCATCCCAAATCGCCCAGTGGTAACGTCTCCGCCTCCAGCCCTGTATGATGCGAGTTTGAATCTCAGAAGAGAAATGAGTTCCTTTGAGTTTTCAGATACACCTTTCTGACTGGTGAGTGCCAGCTAGCATCAAACCTAGGTCTAAGGCTTCCTGCCGATTTCGTCCCAACCATCTAATATCAACTCTTCTGAGTTCTTGTCTCCACTTCTACAACGGATTAATTTGATTAACATGAATATCGAGTTTTACACTTTGGAATACAATAAATACGCCATTTCAGTTATTGAACAGTGTTTTCCAAAAAGGAACTCTCAAATCCCCCAACTATATGAAATATAGTGAATAAATATGATACAGCAAGTTCTAACTGTTTTCTCCATATCGCATAGTCGTTTAATTTGTTTCTGACTACTTATCAAAATTGTTTGGTGCATTCATTAAATAGACTCCATCTGAATTTAGAATTTCAGTCATTACTGAAAATTGCATCTAGCATGACTACAATACGACCGAGATCAAATACCAGTGCTTAGAGTACGTCTGGAGAATTCCATCCTCATGATCCTTATGTGTGCAAAACAAAGGAAGAAATGATCAAAAACAGATGGCCTAATATCTACTGCCCAGTATCCATCAGAATTCCTTAAATCCATTTTGGGCTTAAGTGAACATACGTTTTAGTAAACAAATATGTGATTCATCAAAAATTCCCACTGGAAATTTCAAAAGACTGATTACTGAACAAAGAATATTCTTTTTGATAACTTCTGCATCAGGTCCTACATTTATATATCTATAATAATGAAAGAATTAGCGTCATTAAACAACTTTAATGTTTAAATAACATCGAATCAGTCATATTAATGGATTACAGTTCACTAGCGTCTGAAAGCGTCAAAATATGCATCAACAAAACACTACACTGAATATCAGACAAATTAGGAAAAATAATAGTACAAATTCATGAATGTATAGTCTTTACTGGAGACCAGAGCAGTAGAAGTGGCCGGACTTGCTTCCACTGCACATAGAGCACCGATTGTTTCATGCAGATCGCAGTGGCGTCTACTGCTTGGAGTCTTCGGTGCCTAAATGCTTTTGGTAATTTATTAGGTACTTGATAGATGATAGAGAAGCATTCTCCAATGCTAGCTTTGTGGCCGGTTTGGACCAGGTGGTCTAATACTGAACTGTTGATCTTTTCCACTCTACCTTTATTTAGCCACACTGGTAGCTGTTCCCGAGCACGAAAAATCAAGTTCCTTGAGCAACGGCCAATACAACTCTCTCCACAAGCGCAGTTGAATTTGTAGATACAATTAGAGATGGCTAGTCTAGGTACTTCATCTTTCATTTGAGGAATCACAACCGCTCATGTAGACAATATGACTTTTGGTTTAACCAGCATTAATGGCATTTCAAAAGTAATGTTGTTAATAACCCGAATTCTTTCATTAGTATGGATACATAACTGTAGAACCTGACGAAGAAGTTGTTTTGAAATATTTTTTTATTACTTTGCGTCCCCAGAGGAACATAGGGCTTCAGGCTAGAGACTTGAAGCTTTTGTAGCAGTGTTTATTTTTACCTTTCCTCTTTACTTGTCTTATTATTGGCTTAGCGAGGTTTGGGAGTGAGTAGGCCGGGGATCGAACGTCGGACCATGTGCATGGTCGGCGAGCGTCCTAGCCGCTGTGCCACCGAAGCATTCTGAAATTTATATATCACATAAATTTATATGTATTTTGTTATATTCTGATTTTCAGGTCAGGTTTACCAAATTTCTGTGCAGTTGCATTAGCCCTTCATGAATATGGTTATCAGGCTATCGGTGTACGTATTGACAGTGGTGATTTGCCATATTTGTCGTTAGAGTCTCGTAAAGCTTTTGCACTAATTAGTTCATAGTAAGTAATCTGTTTTCTATTATTTGACTATGTTTCTTCAATAGAAAGAAAAAGGTACTAATTATTTTTGCTTAATCTGTTTTTACCTTTTAATTCACCAGTAGTTATAAATGTACCATCGATATAAGAATATAATTTGAGCATCGTGGTAAGTATGACTCCATCATAGAATAATTTTACTGGGCGAAATCCACTGGATGACTTTTCGAGCAAAATTTATTACTCATAACCATATCAAGACACTCACATAACTTATAAGCTCTATTAATATAATTTCATATCCTTCGCTTTTATTAGTAATAATATAATTCCATATCTATACTATCGGTATTGTGTCATCCCTGTTGCATTTATTACGTATTGTGTACTCTACAGTGCAATTATGTGTCAGTCATTGTGTCCTATATTCCGATTACCACAGTGACCCCGCTCTATTGAGCTTTTTTTTTCCAGGTAACTAGTTAATGTCATAGACTTCTGCATACTGTAGATTTCTTTTCGCCAATTTGTGAATGTTAATAATAAAATGGGTTAAATGCCATGCATATTATTTGGATCTTCTGGACTGTTTGGTCGAAGATAACCAGATAATAAACTGAAGATCAATGTATATATATATATGCCCAAACCAAGTTCACTTTTAAAACAGTTAATCTCTTTTATAAATTTGGATAGTGTTATTAGAAGACGGAGATTATCTGAAAATATGATGTATTTGCGCTATACATTTCGAGCAATCTGATCACACATTTACTTGTCAAGTCGATATATATATGAGAAAATTAACGGTAATTAAATTAAACAAAATGACAAAAAGGGATTTAAGAATGATTAACACAACGTTTGGTAATTCAAATAAGAATTACCAGGGTAGGTTAAGAGTAATAATAAACTGTTTTTGAATACACAGGGAGGAGAGCAGCTTAAGTTTATGAATAGCTATAGGCTCACGTATTTTAATAAGCTCCCTTGACCATTTTTATAGATGACCTTAAGGCTGAGTTAACATCCATCTTATGGTTCATTTCGATTAGATGTTTAGCTATAGACGAAGTTGGTAGTCCGACACCTGCGTCTGTTGGTTTTCCACATTTCATTCGTTTTTCCAACCATTTCGGAATATGCTCTCCCACCCTCACATGTAAAGCACGATTACACACACGAAAATTGGTAAATAGTGTGGGATGTGACATGATCACTTGTGCACTTTTGAGGTTTGCAGTGGAGCATATTTTTGGCTTTTTCAATAATTACAAGCTGGGCTGCATACGGATAACCGAATTCAGCCTTTGTCTCAAAATCCTACTGTTTATTTCCCCGTTATGTGGTAGTTTGATGAAGACATTAAAAAATTTGGGCATTGGGTATATGGTATTCATTATTATAAAACATTTTGTGTTTCTCAGTCAATGAAAAACAAAACGTTACTGTTTTTATTGTTCTTTCGCTATTTAATACTAATAGCTGAATCAAAATATTATTAAACCAGAATTTATAAAATCTTAGCAAAGAGTTTGACCTCGTTAAAGCATCCAATCCCCCATGAAATGAGAAAATCAACAAGATTCTGATAAGCAGTTTCATTATGTAAACACATGCTGCTTTTATAATTTTACGCGCTTATCAAATCCAACAACTGACACTTGGTTTTGTTATCTGTACCGATCGGCTAACTAGACAACGTGCTGATGAATGATGATTAAGTTGTTATATATTAGCTGAGATTTTGTAAATTCTGGTTTAATAAAAATTTGATTAAGCTATTAGCATTAAATAGCGAAAAAACAATAAAAGCAGTATCGTTTTTCTTTCATTAATTGGGAAACGCAAAATCTTTTATAATAATGAAGATCAGTATCTTCAGAAAGCCTACCAATTCGGACAGATACCTACCTGGATTACATGCAATCCGCACATTCTTTTGCCACTAAAGTAACTGTGGCTAAGAATGTGATTACCAGAGCACACATTGATAGTTACTGGAGAAGAAGAGACCAGCAGACAACTAAAATTAATTCAGTCTACTCTCGAATATAAAAAATAATTACGCAAAGCCTTCATTAAAAATATTTTAAAAGTGAAGATAAGGATGCATCAAAATCTGTTGCTAAGAATTGGGTTAGAACAACGGTGATTCTTTATCGCCAAAAACATAGGATGAAATAAAGCGAATTCTTAACAGTCATGACATAACAGTAATATTTTCACGCAATGAACACGCTCATCGCTAGCGAAGGATAAAGATAAAACAGTTGGAGGCAATCAAGAAAATTGTGTGTACCAGATAGACTGTGGGGATTGTGATGCTGTGTATGTAGGCGAAACTTGCAGACAGGTAAATGTAAGAGTGAAGTAACATAAAAATGTCTAAAGGTGGTTCCACAGACCCCTGCAGATTTGAAGAGGCTAGAAAACAAACCAGAGATTGCAATGCACTCGACAGAAACGGACACAAGGTCGACTTTGATAGTATTAAGGTTCTACAGAAAGGTTTTGACTCATATAAAGAAAGGCTGACTACAGGAGCCCTGCGTAAACGGGCGAATCCCAAAAATTTGAAAAAATGTCATGTAACCTGATGTATCGCAAGTCCTGATTAATAAATAAGATAGATATGCATCATTAATCAATCATACTTGATCTAAATCCCCGACTGTCTCTATCTCCTTGTGGAAAGGCTAACAAGTGGTATACAGTTGTCCTCACACACAAAACATTGTATATTGCATACATATATTTTCATATTCAGTTATCCGTGACCACGCCCTTCAGTCGAATATGATCTCTAAAATTTTATACCGTTTTCAGCGCATAACAAAAAAGAGTAATATTAAGTCTGTGGTCAGATATGCAGGAGAAAGTGGAGATGGATCGGACACTCGCTGAGGAGACCGCTGGGTGACATCGCGCATCAAGCCGTCGAGTGGAACCCAAAGGGAAGCGGCGGCGAGTGGGACGTCCAAGGGTGACATGGAGGAGATCGTGTGAAGAGGAGTTGAAAGAGTATGGACTAACATGGATGCAGGTGAAAAGTACAGCAAAAGACAGAAGCAAATGGAGACGTGCAGTTGAAGCCCTATGTTCCACTAGGAACCCAAAGGAGCAATAATAATAATATATAATAAGTCTGTGGTCAAACTTTGTTGACAGTTCATGTAATTTTGTTGATTTTGTTTTGATTTCTATTCATGACTGACATGATTGGACAAAGATTTTGAAACAAAATTTTTTTTATATGTATTGATTTTGATTTATTTCCCTGAGGAAGTTGGGATCAGTTTTTCCTGAAAGAAACATTGGAATTACTTATTTCAGTTTCTATGAGACTTAACAAAGGTATAATTTTTACTTATGTCTACATTTTGCTCGTTGCCAAATTTGTTGTGGAACTATTCAGCCACATCTTGATAATAGATCGTATAAATTAATAATTTCATTGTAACTGAATTTTTGATTTTCCCGTCGATTGATTGGACTGAAGTGCTCGATCTCAGGTTGACATGTCGACTTCTTGTGGAATGCTTCGACGATGTCTGGGCATTTAGTATTTAGTATAGTCGAAGCATCTGCACTAGAAGCCGACATGTCAACCTGGACCGAGCATTTCGGTCCAGTCAATCGACGGGGAAATCTCAAATTCAATGAAAATAAATATGATCCGTTTCACAAGAGGTGGCTCTCGTGGCCCAAGTGGTCTAGTGGATAACGCTTTGGCGTTTGAAACTATGGGCACTGGGTTCGAGCCTCGATGGGAACATCATCACTCACTGAGAAAGTCTGGTACATCCACTGATGAGTCCCGAATAGGACAAAATGCACATCCTGGATTCCACTGCTAATTTTATTGTTCATAAAACTTCATTCTCAACATTTCACATCGGATTATACATTTAAACAGTTTCAGATGTCCTATGCAATCTATCTGTTAATGGTGACTGAGTTTAGATATGATAGAGAAGATTTGTAGCTCAGGTGGATGATTTTGATGTGGTTGTGTTTTTTGAGCTGGATAGTTAATTTGCGAAGCTTTCATCCCTTACTAGGCGACATCTTCAGCGCATACTTCAATCGCCTAGTAGGACTATGAAAGCTTCACAAATTAACTATCCAGCTCAGAGAACACAACCACATAAAAATGAGTGAGTTTATTATAATATCTACTTCCGCATGCATACTTACCTATATTGCGTTAAAGATAAATCTAAGCATTATATTGTGTATCAATATGATATCTCCATTGTCAGTTCATAAACTATAGCAGTTTTCAGTTGGGTGATTTATGTACGACACCAAAGGTAGCCTTGAACTTTGCGTAGGCATTTTTTCAACACTGATCAACTGCTTGGAACTTCAGAAGACATATTATGCCTAAAGCTACATGCTTCACCACATACGTATAAGACTCGGGTGTTGAAATTTTTCTCAACTAAATCATGTGTTTAGATTAATGAACGAGAAATAATGGGCTATAAATTACGTTTTAGTATCAATCAGTGCATACCTGGGGACGGCATCATTTAGAAATCCTTAATGTGGTATGTTATGAAGTCAGGGAACGGTATCTTTCTACACACAATTTAATTACGAAGGACGTAATTTATCTAGCGAACATCAGAATCATACTGCCACCAAAACTTGGACACTTATAACTGATATGTAGAATACCATGGATTTTCTGATATATTTGTTTTTCTGAACAATGTTAACAGGGAAGAGCTTCTAAAATACTGATTTAAACTAGTTACTTCTCTGTTTGGTGACAGAGTGCCTTAATGTGTAGAATTATATACAGTTGTCATAGTGTATACTGTAGACTATATTGAATTGATCGAGAAGTAATCTGAAAGTACATCAACACTAGGGATTGCCCAAAACTTTGTCAACTCCATTCAACAGCCAAATGACAATGCCACGTATCAGGCGATCCAGCAGCAAAAACAACAACTAGCACTAGTCACCATCAACGGGAGAGATTTAAAGTGGTCACTTCATTCACTTAACGAGGAAGCGTAGTTTCAACTACAGGCAGAATGGATAAAGATATCAAAGCCAGCCAGAATCAAAAAGGCAAGATACACCTTCATCAACCTGAAACCAGTTTGGAAATCTTCTGCACTTAGTCCCAGAGTAAAGAACAAGACTCGGCTTTTCAACACAAATGTGAAGTCAGTCAGTTCTTCTATATAGGTTAGAAACTTGGCCAGCATGTCATGAAAAATATTTCTAACAAGTTACAGAACTCTGTGAACAGTTGTCTTTGCTTGCTCCATACTGAAGATCAAATAGTAGGCCTGCCAGAAAGAATTATCAACAAGAAATCCTGCAGTGCAACAAATCAACCAAGAGCTGACTGCTCAAGAAATATGTAGAAGAAAATGGAGATGGATCGGGCATACGTCGAGGAGGCTGTCGAATGACATTGCGCGCCAGACTATCGCTTGAGTGGAACTTGAATGGGAAACGATGAGTGGGTCGTCGGTGAGAGGGCGATGTGGAGGAGATCGTATAAGGAGGAGATAAAAGACTATGAGAAATCCTGGACACACCTGAAGAGCAGAGAAGAAAATAGGACAAAGTTGAGACGTGTTGTTGAAGCCCTACATTTCATTCGGAACCCAAGGGAACATTAATAATAATATTACGAATTATACTGAATAATATCTGAAAAGGAAAGATGTAGACATTAGCTTTGATTAACATTTGATTATAGTTTGTCAACTCGTGCATCTTACCTACATTTCTTTATTGTCCACCCTTATTCTTTCCTGTGTGGCTTAAAAAAGACTATTTTACACTTCGTATAACTCTGAAGACTGCCAGTAGGACAAGTGGTATCCCATTGGGCCATATCGTTGACATCTTCAATGATAGGCACTCGATTTCATGCAACATATTTGCTACAGGGATTTTGTCACACTGTGAGCATCTACCTCAGCAGCCGCAGCTTTCACCTTTTGTCTCTCAGATAAAACAAAAAGTCATTTCAAAAGACTTTATGCTGGTACGTCCGAGTATAAAAACTCCACGATACTATATTTGGTACGTATTTTACGTGATGAAAATAGTGTCAGGCATGAACTAGCTGACTTTCTTTGCGTTAGTAAATGAACAATTTTCTCCATCCTTACTCCACCAAGCTTTACTGTTATTATTCTTCTTATATTTATAATCCTGTCGCTATTTTTCTTGTTTATTTTTTCATAAGTGTAAACATCATTTAAGCTCCGTCATTATTGTTACTTTTATTTTTCCCCTTCACTATACTACATCAAGAGAACATTAGATTCAGTACTCTGTATCATACTAAGATTTTTATACTGTGTCGACAATACTGTTACTATTATTAGAGTTATTATTCTCTTTTTGTACTTTACACATTTTTGACTTTATTCCTACCGTACATGTGGACAAATTCCTGTAGTAAATTTTATTTATATTTTGACTAAATTAGACGCAATATTGTCACAAATGCTGAGAATCCCATTCTGCATTATAAGTACTGTTTCTAGAATAAAGTAGGTCATTTAATTCAATTTCAGATTTTCTCGTCGATTGATTGCACCGATGTGCTCGGTCTCATGTTGACATGTCGGGTTCTTGTGCAAATGCTTCGACGATGTCTGGGCATGTAATTAGAAGTGAATTGATGGATGGTGATTAGGAATGGAATCCAGGATGCGCATTTCTTCCCATTTGGGACCTCAGAGAGTGATGATGTTCGCACTGAGGTTCGAACCCAGTGCCCATAGTTCCGAACACCAAAGCATTATCCACCAGACCACTTGGTCAACGAGAGCCACTTCTTGTGCAACAGGTCATGTTAATTATTTAATTCGTGATCTGCAGAATGCAGGTACATCCAGCTGACGAGTCCCAAATGGAACGAAATGCGCATCCTGGATTCTACTCCTAGTCATCATCCACCAATTAAAGTAAATCATTATTATTATATCCAATTTTAGCATTTTTGTTTTACAATATTAATTAATTATAAGTCTACACTGAATTTACTGTAAACATGCCCTCAACAGACATTGACTTCTTTGAAATTCCTAAATAAGTATACTGCTTAGTTGGTTTAGTTAAACTTTCAACTTTCTTTTCCAGTTACAAGTTGCCGTGGTTTTTAAAGTTACAAATACTTGTTAGCAATGATTTAAATGAAGATACTTTGCATTCTATAAATCAGCAAGTATGTTGTGTTATTATTGTTATTTTTATTTTTTATTGTTGGTGCGATTGTATTGCTTTTTTTTGAACTTTTTTTGTGTGGACTTCACAATTATGAACTTAAGTTTATTAATTAATTTCCTCAGTCACCCTTGTCTTGCCTAACCTATCTAATAGGTACTTTGGAAGGTGTTTGTGAAATGGTAGTAACAAACGTATACTTTATTGACCGTGTCACAGAAATTTCTAATTCAAAATATGCTGCTGACCCTAAGGAAAGTATTTTAAATATTTGTTATACTGTTTTTTTTTTTTTTTGATTTATTTTTGATTTACAGCTTGATTCCACACTGTATTTTTGGTACAAGTATGGAATTTTCAGCATGGATATCGGTAGCCCAAATTTTGCAGGCCGACCATAGATATCAGGTGTGCGTCGGTGCGGGCTCGAACCCCGGACCATGTGCATGTTCGGCGAGAGTCCTAACCACTGTGCCATTTGTATGAACAGTGTGGTTACATTTGAATTCAGAATTATACTCAAGGTACAAGATAAATAACAGTTTTTATCTGAATCTCTAAAGCCTCAGTAATGCAAAGCATACAGTTTTAGAGAGACTTTTAGTTTTGTAGATAACTTTTAATAAATTTTCCTTACATATTGAGTGGCCAGTGCTGAATATGCATTCAGTTATAAAACTTCTTACTGATCGATTGTTATCTTTCTGCAGCCAAATGGGACAATGTTCCTTGACTATTTTTTTTAGATAAAACACGTATTAAAGGACCTAAATTTCTCGCTCGACGGGAGCAAACGAATTGGTAGATACACATTGAAGTGGTCAAAAACGATAACTTATCTACAGAGTTACTAAAGAACATTTGGCGGCAGGAGAATACTGATTTCAGTGTGGAAGCGAAGAATGTTCTCAGGGCGTATGATAGTTTCTTCTTTAGAATCTCTGCTAAAAGATCACCTTTGAACGCCACATTCATGTTTAGCGGCTTCTCTGGCACGGAGATGTGGTTCTTTTGCTGGTTTCTGGTTTTACGTGCTTTTCTATAAAGTGTCAGACGTATCAATTTCCAGGTTGTGTCTTCCTCGAAGCAGTAATCTCTTTTTCTAACGTCTCAGAGGTGCAGGTACTTTGGATCCTCATCGCAAGAGATATTATTAGCTTTCACTTGCGATTTAAAGGTACCCAACCGTAAGCGTTTGTCAATTAGCCGTCCCACGTAAGTTTTATATGTATGCTGATCTATTCAATGTCCTATCAGCCTTCTTTGTCAGTCGAATGTCCAGAAATTTGAATTCGCAGATAATATGGAATCAGAGTGAAAAATGTCGCGTCGATGGCACAGCGGTTAGGACGCTCGCCAACCATGCCCATGGTCCCTGGTTCGATCCCCGGCCGACTCACTCCTTTACCTCACTAAGCCAGAAATAATGCTGGTATAGAGGAAAGGTTGGGCATGAGGCTAGCAACCCCATCCTGTAAAATTAAACACTACTACAGAAACTTCAAGCCACTAGCTTGAGGCCCTATGTTCCACTGGGAACTTGAAGAAGAAAAAGAGTGAAAAATAACACATAACCTTGCTATATTCAGCTTCGAAATGACAGCTTAATCGTGATTATGTAAATGTAGTGTATTGAATTACATAGTTAACAGATATGCATAACACCGTGTCTCAGAAACCCAGGTAGATGGAATTTCGCAACCTCATTCAAAACAAGTTTAGATTTTATGTTCATATAATGCTTCACTTCTTGTCCTAAAATTTTTTTATTTTCTATCCTATTAGTCACATCCAGTGTTGTTCTAAATGCAAGGATGGTCAAATAGTTGGAGCCTTCTAAGATTCTTTTTGCATCTATCATGCTTCATAATCGGTGAATAACTGCATGTTTCACCTACACTGTAAGTAAAAAAAATTGGCGAAAATCCGAGGAAAGAGAATTTAATGACAACCAATCCACCACAGAGGCGTCGGTAGCATAGCGGTTAGGACGCTCGCCAACCATGCCCATGGTCCCTGGTTCGATCCCCGGCCGACTCACTCCTTTACCTCACTAAGCCAGAAATAATGCTGGTATAGAGGAAAGGTTGGGCATGAGGCTAGCAACCCCATCCTTTAAAATAAACACTACTACAGAAACTTCAAGCCACTAGCTTGAGGCCCTATACTCCACTGGGGAACTTGAAGGAAAAAAATCGACCACAGAGCACGTGGCTTCATAGGTGGATGAAACAAGTATCAGACATCATCTGTGTAGTAAAAGGGGACACCACTGCATTTGACCCGAAACAGAAATATGTACTCCGCAGATAAGGAGCAAATTCCATACGTCCTCAATCTGTTAATTACTTGGTTTGTGCAGAAGACATTTCAAAAGTATATTCGAATAATTATTTTCTGGTAGTTTTGCATACAATGAGTTATCTTGTATCACCGTCTACAGAAATTAAATCCCTGGAGTCAAGTGTCACTTATAAGTCCTTTCCAGTCTAACTTTTCTGGTTTTGCAAAATGCCAGCAATGTTTCTAATGCATCAAGTATTTGTAATACTGTGGTAGAAACAGCCTACTGCATATATTATTTATGTCATACAAGGAAAGGGTGATTCCTTTCACTATTTCGATATGGTCCCTTTCTCCCCTACCCCCGCCCCATGTAGTGGATATATTCATCACAAAAGTGAGAAAACAAACGCGAACATCGAGTGTTTAGAACAAAACTGGTAGACATGCTGATCTACCTAAAGCAGCTAGAAAACCCTGATTCCAAAATCTATGTTGTCCATGGACTCCAGAATTCAAAATGACTAGATGGCAGTATGAACCTATTTTGATCACCACCAACCACGGGTACGCAGTTCCAGATATTGTTCCACTTTCATATGGATCAGACTTCAAGTCCAAAGCTGGTGGAGTAGCTCCTTGAGATAAGCACACGTTTCGATCTGGGCATCCAGGCAGTATCCTAGACTTAACACGAGCTACGAGATTTGTATGGCACACCTCTTGGTGCTTATAATGAAACAGGTTTTTGTTTTAATAATTATGTCATAATCTGAGCTGGATGGTTTAACTGTGAAGCTTCCATTATATTTCCAGAGGACATCTTTAGCACAGACTTCATAATAAAGTAGAAAGAACTATACTGGACAAGGTGGACATCCTGTTTGACTTTGAGTTCCAAAATGGCTGTCAAAAAACGCATGCATTTTGTCATACAAATGCATTCAGACAACTACGGGCACAGTTACACAGTGGAAACACTGAAAACATCAGGGAATACTTAAAAGTCTGGCACTATTACGAATCGGCAGTCAACAGACACACTGACACCCATGAAATTTGTCAACTAATAAAGAACAAGTCATGTGACGAAAATAGTCAAATTACATGTCAGCCAATACGAATTAACAACCAGTCACGACAAGTAACCCGCAGGAAAGACAATTATATCATTGATGAAGTATTCAAATAAGTTCACTTCATATTGAAGTCTGGGCTAAAGATGTTAGCTAGAGAGACAATAAAAGCTTCACAATTAAACCACTTATCTTAGATAGCACATACATCAGAATCACCCACCTGAGCTATACATATCCATTGCTTTTCAGAATTTAACTTGAAAATGTCGTTTAGTTGGCAGTAAAACACATAAAGTGGAAAGGTTGAACGTAAGGTCAGAAACCTTACCCTATGAAAAGAACATCACAACTACTGAAACTTCAAAGCTGAAGCGTGAAGCCCCATGTTCTACTTTGAACGCAAAGGGATGAAAACAAATCGTTTCAGCACATGCCAATAAATTATGTTAAAGATATCCACGAGGTATATATATATATATATATATTATTTTTTTTTTCCTTTAATTCCTTGTGGAACATAAGGCTTCAGCCGAACGTCTCCATTGCGTTCGGTTCTCTGCTAGAGTTTTCACCTAGCTCCAAGTCTTCCCATATGCTTTCATCTCCTCTTCACATGACTTCCTCCATATCACCCTTGCACTGAAAACCAACTCGCCGCTTCCCTTTCGGATTCCACTTGAAGGCCTGTCTAGTGATGTCACTTGATGGTTTCCTCGGAGTATAGCCAATCCACCCTCATTTCTTCCTGCTTATTTGTTGCACAATCGGTTCCTGCTGTGTCGATTCTCTCTTAGAGATCTTTGTTGCTGATCTTTACTGGCCGGCCATCTGATCTTGAGTATTGAGCGAAGACAACTGTTAATGAAGGTCTGTAGTTTGTTTGAGGTGCTTTTTATGACGCGCAGTGCAAGTCTCTGATCCGTATAGTGAGTAGCACTGACTTCACGTTGGAGATGAGAATCCAGATCTTATTTTTCATATTGAGCGCTGTTGATCTCCACACAGACTTAAGAGTAGTGAAAGTTTGTCTTGCTTTTCCGATGATCCTTGGTTTGATATCCCCTTCAGTTCCGTCCGCCTGTAGTTGAAACGATACTTCCCAGGTAGGTAAATGAGGTTGTTTCTTTCAGGTTCCTTCCATTTATGCTGGCTGATTGTTGTCTGTCTGTTGTCGTTGTTGCTGTCGGTTTTGGCCAGGAGTTTTCATCACCTCTGTCTTCTCTATGTTCACCTGAAGTCCTATCTTCTCTGGACGTTTCTTCTGCCAACTTGTTACTCTTCACTTGGATATCTTCCAGTTTGTGGGAGACCAAACATATATCATCGGCGAAGTCCAGATCCTCCGAGTTTTTTGTGTGGGTCCATTTTACGCCTGTCTCCTCGCTGTCCACTGTCTGTCGCATTATCCAATCTACTGCAATCAGGAAGATCATTGGAGGTGGTAGGCAGGCAGCTTGTCTTACTCCCGTCTTCACTTCGAAGGATTCCGTACGTTTCCCGTTGTGGATTACTTGGCATGCAGCATTGTCGTACAACTGTTGGATGAGATGTATAATTGTTGGCGGCAACCGGTAGTAGCTAAGTAGTTGCCAAATCACCCCTCAATCGACACTGTCGAAGGCCTTTTCAAAGTCGATGAAGTTGAAATAGAGAGGTGATTGCAATTCCAAGCTCTGTTCAATGATGATCCGTAGTGTGTCGATTTGATCAATACATGACTTGTTTCTTCTGAATCCAGCCTATATATATATATATATATATATATATATATATAATATAATATATATATATATCTGCTTTGAGTTTATAAAAATGACTTATTTATACTAAATTCTACTGAGATCAAAGCAACTAAACTATTACATTGTTATCTCAGCAAAAACACTGAAATGTACTCATATACTAATTAGTAAACTACAAACACAAATGTCATAATAGACAGCTAGAACAATGCATTATCAGGGTGTGCACTCTTAACTAATTTTTTGTATTTTATTTTTGTTTGTACTAATTAACTGTTGTTTTGCTTAAAACTAGAATAGTTTTATTGTTAGTTTCTTCAAGGATTGGTTTAGTTACGTGTGTTTGTCTATATGATGCCAAGTATATCAGAACAGGTAACCCACAAAACAAAAAAATCGAAATGTTTATTATGCTTCACCCTCTGACCGCATACTTGGCAATATGACTTTCAGCTTTGGAAGCTGTACTTGTTATCATTATTATTGATTTCACCCTGTTATCGTGAAAAAGATAACTACATTCTTATACTTGTACATCTCAGCTCCTACTTTCCCTCTGCTTTTAGAAATAATTCATTCTTAGAAGAAAGTGAAAAAAGAACGAGAATTTTGGTGTTATACTCTTCTCTTTTACTGATGTACTACTTGATAAAAGGTGTCCAGGACAGACTTTCACATAAAGTTCACACTTGAATCCTTGTACCTTGTGATTTATTAAATAAAAGTAACTAGGAGATGAAAAAAAGCTGTGAAGAAGAAATTGACAAGATATCCTGAATTAGTTGTGCTTTTTCTGAGCTGGTTGATTTAATTGTCAAGCTTTTTTCGTCTTTCTAGACAACATTTTCAGCCGGCAGATTTTTTAGTGAAATGAACTTTTGATTTGACACTAACTTGCATCATTTGTCTATTCCTTCGTCCGGTGCAGATTGAATCCTATCAATCAAGTTTGCAATTTAGCCACCATGCTAGGTGGCTGGTCATCACGGTACACTCAGGACTCTTGTTATTAGATGGTTGAAGGTAATGAAATGAACTCATTCGAATTCTGCATTAGTCCTATACTTGTATCTCCTGGCAACGAATATCGTGACTGGTTGTGTTAATTTACTTCTCTATTGATCATGTATTTGCTGACTTGGAATTCAAACTTTCTTGTCATGTGATATAATTTTTGTTAGCTTGTGAATTTGGTCTATACTGATGTGTTTGTTAATCGTTGGCTGATTCATTTGAGTACCAGGCTTCTAGGAATTCCTTGGCAGTTTCGGTGTTTCCTCTATTTAAAATTTCTACATTATCCCAATCAACCTGTTGTCCATAATTATGTCCATAGTTGTGTGCGTCTGTAGCACAGTGGTTAAGACTCTCGCCGACTATGCATATGGTCCGGGGTTCGATCCCCTGCCGACGCACACCTGATATCTATGGTCGGCCTGCAAAATTCGGGCTACCGATATCACATGCTGAAGTTCCATACCTGTACCAAAAAGTACGGTGTGGAATCAAGCTGTAATCAAAAATAAAAATAAATAAAGTTATCTACAAACATTAATAAGAAAGTATATATATCCTGTCTTTTTACAGGACTCTGATTTGAAGGGTGCACTCTTTTTGACTGATGTAATGTTTATTGCAACTAAATGAACCGACTCAAAGAATATATCTAATTCAAGATCATCCACATGAACTACAGATCTTCTCCATTATGAAAAGATACCTGTTTTATTCATTAATGCAAAAGTTTTTGTATTTTCCAATGAATAAAAAACGATATTTTTTAATATATTTTTTATATTTTTGATTACAGCTTGATTCCACACCGTATTTTGGGTGCAGGTATGGAATTTTCAGCATGTGATATCGGTAGCCTAAATTTTGTAGGCCTACCATAGATATCAGGTGTGCGTCAGCAGGGGATCGAACCCCGGACCATGTGCATGATCAGCGAGCGTCATAACCGCCGTGCCACTGACGCACTGACATTTCGATATATAGTGCTACTAATAGCTTTATCAAAACAATGTTAAACTAATTTACAAAAATTCTCAGCTCTTATTCAATAACTTTATCCAACTTCTTTAACATGAGGTTATATCCATGTTGTCGAATGGGTGAATACGTAAAGATCACAAATCTTGTACAGTTTGTTGCGTTTGATAAGTGTATGGCATTATAAATACAGTATGTGTTTACATAATGAAGTCGCTTATCACATTTGTGTTGATTTTGTCGGAACCAGATTAAACTCCATCTTAGTCCATCATTTCTATCCAGACTATTTGGATTCCATTTAATAAGAAATGCTTCTAGCATGAGATATTCTTTATGATTATGGAAATTTTTGAAAAAATGATTTCAATATCGTCAAAGTCGATTTAGTAGCCTAGATCCATAGCATGTTTCGGTTGGACATTAACTACTAATTAGTGTAATGTGCCTAGTCTTTCGTCTGGTGCAGACTGAATTATGTCAGTCAAGTTTGCAATGTGACCACCATGCCACTAGGTGGCCCATCGGTACTTTGCACTGTGAATCGTTGATATTAAATGGTTGGACGCAATCGGCAGGATGCCTTGGGACCTAGGTTTCGTCCTAGTTGGCATTCGTTAGTATGGCGTATCTGCAACCTTGAAGGAATTCATATCCCTTCTAAGATTCGAAACCACGTCACCAAGTGCTGTAGTCAGAGTCGTTACCACTGAGCTATTCAGGATCCAGTAGCTGCAGCAGTGGATGATGCGGGTTCGGATCTCAGAAGAGACATGAGTTCCTTCAACGTTGCAGATACTCCATACTGACGAGTGCCAACTAGTTCGAAATTTACGTCCAAGGCTTCTTGCGGATTGCCTCCAAACATCTAATAAAGCATCTCTGTTTTTTCATTCACTAGGAAATTAAAAGAACTATTATAACAATGATTACCATATACCCAATGACCAAGTTTTCTCAAATTATTTGATGTAGGCTTGGTTTGAATGTAGATATTTCTCGAATGTAGGTCATTTCCAGAAATAAACGGAGTCATACATTAATCTAATCAGATATTTGTGTATTGACCAAAGGTCTGGCTTACTTCTAATTGGGTATAATAATTTACTTTCTACTATCGCTTGAAGGTTTGTAATTGTTAAATTAAGATGTGTTATACTGACTTACAAGAACCCATGAACTCACTTTACTAAATGTTCCCTTTTAGTCATTACATGAGCTTTTCATGGTTTCATTTTCCCACAGCCTAATGTCATTTACAATTAGAGACTTAATCGCTCTGAATGTATATTGTGAACATGGTCATTTTGTCTCCTTTAAAAATTTATCTTTTTCAGGATCATTCTATCGATGCATATTGTGTTGGAACACATTTAGTCACGTGTCAAAAACAACCAGCTTTAGGATGTGTTTACAAACTTGTTGAAATCAATGGAACCCCGACGATGAAACTTAGTGCAGATTTTGAAAAATTAACTTTACCTGGAAGGAAAACAGTGTATCGCTTGTATAGCAAACAAGGTGGGTTGTGTTTTTCTCAATGAACTTACGACAACTGATTGCCACAATTTTCGATGTGGTATCATTCTACTTATCACAGTTATAAGTAGTCAAACAATGTATTAAAAATATGTTTTAAGACTGTTTCCGACACACATTTGTCATGCAGTACATTTTTATCCATCCAATGATTATCATATCAAAACATCATAGTATGAATGAGGATTAATTATGACGCTGAATCGCTGCATCTTTTTTAGTTGGACGAAAAGTATTGATTTATGTGCTATATGCTAAAGACATGGAACTTCATGAATTTATTCCCCTTGATGAGTTTGAATAAAGCAAGAACAGAAGTGGTTTGTTCAGAATAATATGGTGCCATCATTTATTTCGTTGGCCTCTCATCATCAGCTGCATAAATAAATTATGAGGTTTGTGTAAAAAATGTTTTAACCTACTTGCAAATTTTTCATGATGTCAGTTGACAGGAAGTTCCAGGCTTAGTGAACAATGCTCAGAAAATTGCGCTTATATAGTTTTTACACAGATAGTTCAAGTTCAAATAAAATGAATGTATGCATAAATTGGTAAAGGAGTTACGTAATAAAGACGAGAGATGCGTAAGATGCTGAGTGACTAATAAATTAGGTAACAATGTTCTGAGTTCAACTAAAATCATAGAAACAAGAGACAAGCGAAATTACAAATTATAAAAGGAGGGTGAGGTTAAAGCCGAAGACTACATAATCACGGAAATGTTGAGTATTATTCTAAACCAACTGTTTTCAGATCTCAAAGTGGTATGCAGGAAATCGAGTGAAGAGGAAATGAAATCCTATAAGCAATCGTAGAGCCTGCCAAAGAAGATATCACGAAACAGAGTGAAATAGTGATCTGCTCTCGAATTCCTACGTTCCACTCGGCACCCAAAGGAATAATGATAACTGTCTTCTAATATGATCCTCACAAATAAGGATAGTCCGTGGCATCACATTCAAGTGTTCCATCGCAATTCTAGAGGCTGTATAGTGAAGTAAATTTTGTAAGTGTTATTTCCAAAAGGCTTATAATAGAATTGTCAAGAGTTGGTTTATAAGGATTAGATTTGTTTTTTACGAGTTTGACCACGGATTGATATCAGCTAGAGAACCATTGAATGTTTTGATACGGTTAATTACACCTATTCATTTTTTCTAAAATTTTTCAACTCTAGGAGAAGCCCTACTGGATTTGATGAAAACATCTCATGAAAAAGCTCCAAAAGCAAATGAACGTATACTGTGCAGACATCCAAATCAAGCATCTAAACGTGTATTTGTTGTACCTGGAAGAGTTGAAGAAATGCTTAAATTGTATTGGAGTTGTGGAAAAGTATGTTTTATTTCATTGTCAACATTTTTGATGATTAATTTGCAATTTCATTTTTAAAGTTACGTAATCTAAAAGGTATGAAGATATGAAGTGGTGAATGGACCTCAGATATCATTCAGCTTCAGGATAGAAACATATAAGACGTTGTCTCTTTCACTTATTTTGGCTGCATCGCTTAAACTGAGACATGGATGGTCTCAAGCAATTTAACCCTAAGTTCCTCTTATTTGCGAAGACGCTCTGAATCGACATCTACTAGGTATGATTATCGACTTCAACTCCCAAACACAAGGACTTGTAACAAGAAAATATATTCTTCAGTAGGTAAATTCGATCTGTCATATAGAGTCTATAAACAAATGTTTTACAAATAATGTACTGTACTTTTATTCGTATTCTTTCGTCTTCTTCCAACTTGTACACGATTGAATCATTCGCGCCTTCGAGTTGCCCGCCAATGGCTACAAAGGTCAATGAAACAACGTTCAATATTCACATTCCTTTACAGGTGGGGATGTCAAAGCCAACCAGGGTTAGAAAAGCAAGTCATTTGTTACTCTAAAATCAAGGTAGAGATCTACAACGCTCAGTACAAGGAATAATAATTGAACTTTTAAATGTTAGTGTCAAGTCACCGCTACTATGTGGTACAGATTCTTGGCTCCTGCAACACCTAAAGCACTTCCACTATTCTGCATACCTTCATCAATAGTTGCCTTCTCTCGATATTGAAGAACAACCGGTCAGCCAGAGAGGATAAGCAGCAAAAAACGCTGACACTATGACAAATCAGTTAAAATCCTATTGCCCAACAATGTTTAGAAGGAAATGGAAATGGCTTATACGTATAGTAAGAAGACATTCAAATGACACCACAAGACACACCAGGTCTTCAAATGGAACCGTAGTCTGAATTAAAGGATTCAGCGTACGAGGGTAAAACAGAGAAGATCACGCTGGGAAGAAACGGCTATTTTTGAGAAGACATGGAGTCCGTTGAAGGTGTCTGTAGTGACCTGAGTGAAATGGGGCCTTGTGTTCCTCTTAGAAGGAAAACTATTTACACATTAAGGTAGATTTAGTTTTAAGTGTTGGTTTGTAGGGATTCGACTGGTTACCGGATTTCATCATGAGCTGACATTAGTTAAAGAACCATTGGAAAACCTGAGAGTACTGGACAGCTGTTTCGTCCTAGTTTGGGACTCTTCATCAGTACGTACCCACTAACGGGATTCGAACCCAGGACCTTCCGGTAACAAGGCGAGCTCGTATACCGTTAAGCCACTGGAACCCGATCCAATGGCCAACCCACGAATTCTAACTTCTGTCAATTCACGATATAGCGCGACCACTAGCCAATGTCTTCGGTGAGTATTTGTCCTCACACCCAACCTGCTGCACCCTACTGGTCACGACTTCTCACTAGAACGCCAGGTAACTACCTACCTGACTAGGTGAAGTCGCTGGTGCGCATCTCATTGATATTCAAATGTTGGTTTGTAAAGATTTGATTAGTTACAGAATTTTAGTTTTTATTTTAATTTTATTTTCAAATCACAGTGAAACAAAAGACTGAAAATAAGTTACCACATCACAACTCAACTAAATTTGTAAAACATATCTGAGCTCAACGTTTTCAGTCTGGCACATAGGTTGTACAATGAAAACAGTCAGTATACAGATATTTTTATGCAAAGTTGAGCATTCAGTCACAGAACTTTAAGATAACCTTAAAAATTGGTGTTTAAGCCATCGTTTCCATGAGATTATTGTCAGCAGCACCAATTGAACTAATCCCTACCATTTGAACAGAAATGCAAACAGGTGAAATTTTTCCAGAAAATTTGTCTGTAGTATTTAAATTTGGAAAAATATTTCTTTTATTTCATTGTTTTATGAATTATAATTTGCTAAATCTGTCATTGTTTTCGCGGTTTTGTCACCAGGTGCAAATAAGACATTCTCTTTGACCTAGATTCGGATGCAGATAAGCGGCATTTTGAAAAAAAGACCGTTTGACACACTCCATGTGTTTGACGCCTTTACATTGAAAAAATTCCGACTTATTTTTATTTAAAAAAATACCGTTACCAGTATTATCCGCTTCAATTAACAAACAAGGCAGTATTAAACACTCCTAAAGCCTATCTTTGCAAATGGGGGAAGTCTGCATGGAATACTGTACATCACAGTGAACTTACTCAAGGATTCAAAATAATAAAGGAGAAGATAACTAAACTTTAGTAAACATTCAATTATTGGTTTGTGAGGATTTGGTTGATTGGTTACAGGATTTTATCATGAGCTGACATTGGTTAGTTAACCAGTGGAAAACCTGAGAGTACTGGACAACTTATTCGTCCTAGTTTTGGACTCCTCAGAAGTACACACCCCATCGGGGTTCGAACCCAGGACCTTGTGGTTGCAAGGCGAGCTCGTAGTATTGTTTAGTTATGCTAACTGTTGTGGCATAGCGGTAGAATCCTCGCCAATCACACAATTGGTCTGGGTTCGATTCTCGACCGATGCATTCCTATTCCTTGCCTAGTTTAACTAACCCATAGTAAGTTGGAAAAATGGTAAAGGTTGGATGTGAGGTCATCAATCGCACCCACGAAAAACAAAATGGCTACAGAAATGTCATAAATTGAAGCCCTGTGTTTCACTTAAAACACAGAAGGACTGAACCGGATGCCAACTGTTGCCATCCACCAATGTATAATTCTAAGGACTGATCCAAATTCAGTGACGTGTGTGTGTACAGTGCAGTCATTAAATTTATCGTGTGCATTTTGTTTAGTTGTAATTTCTCATTATGTGCACAGAAAGAACTTAACGTTGATTTATTGATTACTGCTAACTATTGATAAAATAAACCGCCATTGCTGAAACATACTTTCGTAAATTGGGGCATTATAACCTGTACTAATAATTCCGAAGTTAAAAGCTTTATCGCTAAACTTCTCAGAGCATAGATTAACGATTCAGAACATCACTATAAGCTATTAAACTTGGGAAAATTTCAACATAACGGAAAACTCATAAAACACAAACTAGGCTTCTATAGTTAGCTATGATATTAAATCCTCTTAGAAGTCACTCAAAATCTTGACTAACAAATTCTTATGAACTAAAACACAGATTAGATAATTCAAAATTAGATAATGAAGAAAAAATGGTTAGTTTTGACATTGTCAGTTTATATATATCATACTGATAAATATGGCTATGAAGGCAGTCAGAAACGAACTCATTTCTGACCAAGATCTAAAGTACCACTAGAGGATATAATGTTGGGAGTGCAGCTATGTTTGACTCCCACAGTATTTAAATTCCAAGGGAAAATATGAAAACAAACTGAGGGAGTTGCCATAGTGTCGTCAGTATCCCTGATTAGGGTAGATATATTCATTGATAGGTGGAAAAATATGGCGATTGAAACGGTTACCCCCACCCCAAAAGTGTGGTGGAGGTATGTAGATGACACATTCACTGTACTTAGAACACAGGAGATAAATATATTTTTCGAACATATTAACTCGTAGGTAGAAGAAATTCAATTCACTTATGAATTGGAAAGTCAGGAAGGAGAGCTTCCAATGTTAGATTGCAACGTAAAAAGGAAAGAAGATGGGGAGTTAAACACTAGTGTTTACAGAAAACCCATACATTCAAACAGATATTTGAACTTCTGATCATCCCATCCTATGTCAGTAAAACCAGGATTGGTGGAATGTTTGAGTAAATAGGACAGTAGTACCAAGGAAAATCTAAGGCAGGAAGTGAGGCTTTGAAAGTTAATAATTACCCAAATAAATTAATTAGGAAGTATGGAGGAAAATGTAAAAATAAATTAAATTATAGTAGTTATAGTGATAATAGTAATAATGACGACATTTCATGTCAAAGATGTGCAGGATAATTTTTTTTATATATTTTTTCCTTCACGTTCCCAGTGGAACATAGGACTCCAAGCTAGAGGCTTGAAGTTTCTGTAGCAGTGTGTAATTTTACAGGATTAGGTTGCTAGCCTCATGCCCAACCTTTCCGCTTTACCAGTCTCACTACTGGCTTGGCAAGGTAACCAAGTGCGTCGGCCGGGGATCGAACCCCGGACCATCTGCACGGTTGGCTAGCATCTTAACCGCTGTGCCACCGACGCTCAAACAAAACAATTTAGTTTGCCTAAAAGCCTACTAGAATGATTGTCAGGCCAAATATATAGGACAAAGTAGTAGAACAGGGGCAGTCAGACTAGCGGAGCATAGAAACCTAGCAAAATCTAGATTGGTTGACCCGCATAAGATAAGAAATCTAGAGAATAGTTCAGCTATAGCACACACTACATGCAATTACACAAAACCATACAATAGGATGGGATAAGATGACAGTTTTAAAATCTAATGTACCAGGGTGGAGGGAGAGATTGATAACAGAAGCTTTGTTTATCGAATCAACTGAAGATACGTTTAATAGGAATGGTTCAACACCTGTCCCAGATATCTGGAAAATTCTACTACCCCTACAACTAATAGGAAAGAATAGAGAAAAGTATAAGATTGAAGTTTCGAAGTTGTTTGGTTATAATTTATGATATGATTATGAACAATAAATTTTGTTCGAAACCTTATCATCCAGTAAATAATAATACTGTTTCACTGTGTGATATATCTAGTAAACAAATTAATATGGGAGTGTCTATATTAATTTGCTGATTAGGTATATCGCATAAGGAAATAGTATTATTATTTACTAGATGATAAGGTTTCGAACACAGTTAATTGTTCATAAGTCAACTTTTACATTTCTTGTTCTTCTCTCCCACTTATCGTAAGGGCATTAGAATTTTCCAGAAGCCTGTATTCTTAGTTGATCCGATAAACCAAGCTTGATTTATCAGTTTATCCTTTCATCATGTTACACTGCATTTCAGAACTGCCATCTTGTGCCGTCTTACTGTATGGCTGTGTCAAACTGCGTTCATGCCTTTTTGTTTTTGTGTCCCCTTCTAATTGAGATAACTCTGGTCTAATACTTTGACCTCTGAACTTGACTTCACAATCGTTGTACGGTAGAAGATAGACTGAATGCTTTTGGTACATGGGTTCCACAATATCCTCTAACTAACATAATCGGTTTCCAAGGAAATTTGTGAGTTTGAATGTCACTTTTGTTCCTACCTTGATAGGAATTCTAAGTAAAGTTTTAGAGGTCCCTTATCTGTATGATAGCAGTACCTTTGGTTTAAATTACCTCTTCTTGATGTTGTCATCTTCCTATGTATGTTTGTTATTCATATTGCTCTTAGAGTTTACTACTTCTATTTTTTATAACTTTCGACATACTATCCGACTAATTATTAAGTGTCAAAGCTTCTTTCATATGCCTTACTTCGTGTAGGAAATTTTATGTGGTGCTATTTAGATATTTTCCCAAACACTTAAAGATTTTACTGATGTGGAGAAGGAGAAAGTGAAATACAAATATTGGTCTGAATGTTTATGTCCTCTTTAAAGACACGTGTTTAACTTTAACACATTTTGCAAACTGGTTAGCTGTTGGAGGAGTGAAATTTTCACCAAAGTTTCCTTTGGAAACCAAATTACTCAGATCACCATCTACAATCTGCTTGATACCATAACTGGTAATCAAGAAAGCAAGCAAATCTACATAAAAACTACACACTTATTGATTGATTAAGATGGATAGTTGTATAGTGTACGGCCGATGAGCTCAGCTCCAGACGAGCAAAACTGTTATTCGTTGTTTAGATCATCTGGATCCAGCCGGCAAGCACCACTGGTTGATATGTGTGGTATAAAACTACTCATTTCAATCCGACCAGTAGTATACAGGTTCGTGCTTAACTTTCTATCTTATTTACTTTTTATAATGTAACAGAAAGTCCCCTTTATGACTCTCCAACAGAACTTCTAGGCAAATAAGTAAAACAGAAAAGAAGTGAGGATTTAAAGTTGAACTAAGCGAGTAATCTTGTCCTTATGCTTTTTTTTATTTCTATTTTATGCTACGCTGTGTTATAAATCAGTGATTCAACGAATATGTTATTAAAAAGCTGCAGTACAATGTGACTGGGACAACGTTCAAGTATTAGACAGAGGAAACACCGAGAATGCTAGAGAATTTTGCAGAAGCCTAGTATTCCAGTGAATCGTCGATCAATAGACACATTGACATAGACAAAATTTACCAATTGGATAAGAAGGAAATCTCACACACACACACACACACAAGCGTTCAAACTTCAGGTCAAGGAAACAATCAGTACCAATACACATAAAAACAACCAGTCAGGTTCAAATTCACCCACCAGGAGAGATGACTAGTAAACTCGTGGAGGAATCTAAAAACTGACTTCAAATTGAAATATGCGCTGAAGATGTTGCCCAGTAAGCAGTGATGAAAGCTTCGCAAATGAACTATCCAGGTCAGAGAACACAACTACATCAAAAGAAAGTGTGAAGAGTCAATACACAGTTTTCAATTACGAAAATATTCATACCTTTTCATCTTTGTTTTGTGTAGTAGATTTAGGCCCAAGAAACAATGACATAATTTATTGGTTAGAAGACTTCATCATGAGCTGACACCAGTAAGAGAACCACTGGAAAACCTGGGAGTACTGGACAGCTGTTTCGTCCATGTTTGGAACTATTCACAGCGCGCACCCACCAGTGGGGTTCTAGCCGACTACCTTCTGATTACAAGGCGAGTTCGAATCGGGATCGAACCCCGGTAGGTGTGTACCTATGAAGAGTCCCAAACTAGGGCGAAACAGCTGTCCAGTACTCCCTGCAGATTTTCCAGTGGTCCTCTAACTGATGTCAGCTCTTGGTGTAATCCTTTAACCAATTAAACAAAATCCCTACAAAACCAATGCTTAAAAATGACATCATTTGTTTAAGTGACGAGTATATGTATATATATATATACACTAAAAAAACACTTCTTTTTCTTTGTTCTGATGTTTTCCCGTATGTTGTAGGTCGTTAGACAATTATTAACACTGAATGAAGCCAGACAGCATGGTGTACATGAACTGGATACTTTGAGATCAGATTATAAGCGTATTGTTAAGCCAACATCGTATAAAGTCTCAGTTTCAGATGAACTGTATCAATTTACTCAAGAATTATGGCTTAGTATGACGCCTATTGGTGAAATTAGTTAACATTTGTGTAATTTATTATTTTACCATTAAATTCATTCTTTTTACTATCAAAGTTGTACTATATATATAATCTCTACTTTATTATTAATGTATATTCTGTGATTAAGCAACCAGTAATTCTTTGTACACGAGGTGAATAAATGCTTTTAGAAGATTTATAGACGTATATTCCTGATAACTATTCTCCTTTACTTATTTATCTGTTGATTTCTTAATAATAATACTATTTATTGGAGTTGTTGCTTTTTTTGCAATCAAATGATATATTCGTAGGATATTTTATAATTTAGACCATTGTAACGTGTTTGATCAAATAAATATCCGCTTTCCAAGTGTTGGTTTCCACCAACTCGACTGATTTCAGCTTAGATCACAAATGACAGTCAGTTAGAAAACCACCGAAAACCTGAGATTCCTGAACTGCAATCCCATGCTAGTTTTGGACTGTTCAACAGTACGCACCTGTGGCCTCATTGGAGGTTGACCTTGCGTTTAGCATTCAGCCAGTGGGAAGAAATCTGGCTGCCAATGGATTCTAGCTCCCGCTGATTTGTAATATGTAACGCAACCGTCAGCTTATGCCACTGGCCAGAACCTGTCCTCAACCTGATTTGACCGACCCCACTGGTTACGAAGTCTCACTAGAATTACAGAGTACATGCTGGTGAAGAGTTCCAAAACGGGACGAAATAGTTGTCTAGTGATCTTTGGTTTTCTAAGTGATTAGAGTTGATGACCTAGTTCGAAATGTATCGGTGGTTCAGCAGTAGAATGTTTGCCAACCACTCATGTGATCCAGGGCTCGACCCCTGGTCGACGCACTCCTATACCATACTAAGCTGGTAATAAGACTAGTAAAGTCAGGAGGTTGGGTTTGAGGCTAGCAAACTCAACCCGTAAAAGTAAACATCAGTTACCGAAAGTTCAAAGCTCTAGCTTGAAGCCCTATGTTCCAACTAAATATAAATTAATAATAACCTAATTTGAGAATATTTTTCATTCGACACTAGTCAGTAGCTAGTGTAAAGCGTGTTTTTTTGGATTGAACACTAGTAACTAGTGTGATGTGCCTAGTCCTTTCTTTGCTGCAGGCTGAATTCTGTCAGTCAGGTTCGTAACGTGGCCACCATTCTAGGTAGCTCGCCATTACGGTGCACATTGATTTGATAATATTACATGGTTGAAGGTAATCGGCACGAAGCCTCGGACCTAGGTTTCGTGCCAGTTGGACTCATCAGCAAGGCGTATCTGCAACCTTGAAGGAACTCACGTCCCTTCTTTGATTCGAAACCGGGTCACCTTGTGCTGCAGTCAGTCCCATCTCTGGTTCAGACTGAATTCTATCAGTCAGGTTTGCAATATGGCCACTATGCCACTAGGTGACTAGCCATCACGGTGTACCGTGAATTGTTGTTATTATATAATTGAAGGCGATCGGAGGGAAGCCTTGTCCCACCTAGGTTTTGTGCTAGCTGGCACTCATCAGTATGGCGTGCTGCAACCTTGAAGGAACTCATGTCCTACCCCTCTGAAATTCGGACCCACGTCACCCAGTGCCTCCTACATTCAGAGACGTTGACACTGAACTATTCAGGCTCGTGATTGATGTCCTATAGGACTGTATGGGATATTTCTGATTGGATTCCAGTCAGTAATCAGGTTAATGTGTGTGTATCCAGTCCTAAGATAGGAGACTGAGTTTTATCAGTCAAATTTGCAATGTGGCTTGTTGGAAGTAAACTGATAGTCAACCAAAAGTATCTGTGCGATATTGTTGACAGTTATGAAGGTAATTTGTCGTTCAGGTGTATATCCTAAGCATTTTTCTGTTTTCTCAGAGTTGATGGGATGAACTATGCATAATAGCAATAAACATACTTTGATACGAAAACATTGAAACATTTGAATCTGATTACGCAACCTTTAACTTATTAAATAGTCAGTAGAACCAATGGATCTTGTCTTTCCAACTCACATCATTTATAGGTACAACGTTTTCTCGCTCTTTCATTCTGTATTTATTTTTGTTATGTGCTGTTTTGTTTCTCTCTTCCTTGCAAACTCTACTTAAAACATTCTTGTTCGTTCTTTCACACTGTACATCTCGAACATTTTGCTATCGCTTACGCCAGTAAATATGCTAGTAGTATCTACTTTTCTAACACCTTCAAACACTTTAATTTTGGTTTTGTTACCGACATACTAATATGTTGTTGAGATAACTTTAAACTATGTAGAACTTTATTTATTGTTAATGTAAAAAAAAAAACTGGATGCAATATTGTAGTAAAATGCTGAGAATTCCATTCTGTATCACAAGTACTGATTTGGAATAAAGCTTGTTATGTTATGTTCACTGATGTCTCCCAAAAAGTATGGAATTTTGGCGTATAATATTTCTTTTATAATTTGACACTTATATTCTTTGTTTATAAATGTATTGTAGACAAATCATTTATAACTAATATGACATTTAAACAAGCTGATTCATTATAAGTATATGAGACACTACTGAAATAAATCAAAGTAGTACAAATTAATGAACTAATTAATTAATCTACTACCATTATTGTCTTACAGTTTGTTTATTTGTTTGTTGAATTAATTCAACTAGGCGGTATAAACAAAAATAAGAGTACCATAGAGATACTTTACTTATGAAGAAAAGTTTTATAAATATAAGAAATAGCGGTTATAGTAAATCAAATCTGAAAGCACGGCATTGTTTTACGTTTAATTAAATTTTTTTCATTTGGTTTTTTTTGAGAAAAACAAACAAACCAACAAACACAATTATTTACAATTTAATGTTTTAGAAACAGTTATAGTCACCATTCGACTATTATTATTATTATTACTATAATTAGCATTAACATTTAATAATTTAATTGGTCGCGGTAATTGCGTGTAAACATTGAACATTTGAATAGGAATGAAGGACTCTACCACATGAAATTAAAATGATTCTTCTTTTTGTATTTATAATAGTCAAACGTTTAGTTGTTTTGCTATTTTTTTTTGAAAATGTCTTTGTCTTGTTTCTTTCTCCTTTATAATTACCTTAAATATATTTTAAAATAAATATTTATAAAGCAGAAGTAGTTTATGGCTTTACAAGTTCAATTGTCTTTTATGCTAATACATATATACAGTGTACAATGAATAGGTACAAGAAATGTTTTAATGTCCAAAAAAGATTATTTTTTTTTGGTAATTCATTAACACTATATCATCCATAAAGTATGTAATATGCTATGAACTAGATCATTGTTGAACTAAGAATTAAATTGTTAAATTCGTAGTAATTTCATTGAAGAATTCAAGCTGTACTTTGTCATGATTTGAATTCCGATAGTGTCTGTCTGACAACTTACTGTTCACAGTAGACGTCTCTTGGGATTTCTTCTTATTTGATGATATTTGCAGTAACACTGTTATTGGATTCTGACTCAGCAGTTCAGTAGTAAAGGCTTTATTTTTTGTAACCCAGTGGTTTTATTCTGTATTTTCTATGATATTGTAAATACATACTACTAAAGAATACCTAACCATGGCGAAACAACAATTCAATTTCCAGTGACTATAAAAGGTTTTCTAGGGTTGTTTCTGGTCATCATAATGACCTGGACTCGCGGAAGGTGAATCGTTTGTTATCTTTATCGCGTATTTCCTTAAATAGATATAGAGTTGTTTTCACTTTTCTACATTATGTATAACTTCCAGTCTACTTTCTCAAAGAGGGTGTGTACGATAGATAGACCAAGTTGTTCTACATTTCTAACTCATGTCAAACATCAGTTATATTTCGTATTTTAGTTCAATAAATTCTATGATAATATCCGGCCTACTGCATATTTATTAGTACTATAATAGTGAAATTAAGGTCTAGTTATTCTTTGAGTTGTTCTGTTCAACAGGAGCATAATTAAGAAATATCAGGATGTATTCATTCTTCTGTACAGATCTTGTCGCTTTATTTAAAATTTAATTAATAAATCCTGAATTGACAGAAGTTAGAATTTGTGAGCCATTGAATCAGGCACCAGTGGCTGAATGATATACGAACCTGCCTTGTGACAGGAAGGTCCTGGGTGAGTGCGCACTGCCAGTGACTCCCAGATTAGGCTGACGAAACATTTGCCTACTACTCCCTAGTTTTTAATGGTTCTCTAACTGGCATAAGTCTATAGTCAAACTCGATAAACAGTTAACATTTACCAGGTAACACTTCATATCAGAATACGGAACTCATGAAGTCTTTTGGGGAAAAAGTCACCCTAAAATTAAATGGTTAATATTTCATCCTACTTTTGAATCTATAAATTTTTGACTGCAAGATTAGTGATGTTGCAAGAGGATTTTTAGGGCAGACAGTTCTATCTTTAATACAGCATATATATATATATATTGTATGGTTTAGCTTTTTTCATTCCTACACGTTCCCAGTGGAATATAGGGCTTCAGGCTGGAGACTTAAAGTTACAGTAACAGTGGTGTTTATTTTTACTGGATAAGGTTGCTAGCCTCATGCCCCCCAAGCTTCCCTATTTACCAGTCTTATTACTGGCTTATAGAGGTAAAGGAGAGCGTTGGCCGGAGATCGAATCCCGGCCCACATGCTCGCTCGACGAGCATTCTACCACTGTGACACCGACGCATTGTGTACCTTGGATATCCTAAAACTTGACTAAGTGGATTCCGAGATTATGTCCGACAAAATTAATGAATACGTGATACGATTTTTTACACAGATCATGATGAATTCTAATAAAGAAGACATGAAACAAGTATTTGTAAATCTTTGAGTATATGACTGGTATGGAAATACAAGTCATGTGCTGTTAAAAGCTTCTTAGAAAGTGTTAAATCTTAGCTTCTGATAAGTCATTATCAATAGTCCAATGAATAAATGGATGACAGTATGGATTGCTGACTGACTGACTGGCTGACTAATATAAGTAGTTGTATACTACTCACATTAAGCAGTGTTCCTTGCTAGC